CAAACAAGTCTAATGCTTAAGAAAGGTGAGCATCAATACTGTTACTGCTGGAATGCATTACTTAACAATGCTCATATCCATTGTTTAGTCTCCATAAACATTTAGCAAGTATTGAATGCCAATGAGTAAAAGGTTTTCTGCAAGGAGGAAATCAATGATGCATGTCAGCTTTGTATATACTTTCATGTCAGACACTATTTTGTCAGACTGCTACTCAGAAGACAGAAAAAAATGTCATAAGTTATTGGCAGGAAGGTCTAACCTCTACTGTCATACCAATGATGTCATGGACTTGTACAAGAAAATAGGAAACATTACTTTCAGAGCAACCCTTATCATCTTAATCAAAAAAACAATTTCCATGCAGTTATATTTATGCACATCTATTGAAATGCAGATTTAACAACAGTCAGAAGATAAATTTTTTTTAGACTGTTCCATTCTTACAGACTAAAAATATCTTTATAAACAAGGCTGGATTGCTTGGCACTAATTGTTCAATTTCTTTTATAAATGAAGTCCAAATTCTCAAGGCTGATACAGAAAAGGAAAATAACAGGGTGAGGTTGACCCTTCACTTGGGGAGACATAAAAATCACCACAAGATGCAGCTAATGAATTATGCAAGGTCTTCAAAATTCTGTTAGACTGACTTTTTCAGTGAATTTACAATAGATACCATAAATAAAACTGTTTGGAATTTAATGTTAAATACAACCACTTTGTTGTATTGATTGACAAGAATCCCACTTGGAGAGACATTTCAAATGGAGCTGAGAAGCTTCATTGTTTAATAAATCATAACATATGGAACAATTTTGTGTTGATTACTAGAATCCAACCAATTCACAGGAATGAAGAACATTTGCACTTTTAGTGACCAAAGTATTACAACTGTAACCCCTCCCACCACCCAACAACCTAGGAGACAATCTTGAACTAAGCAGGACATGGTGGCAGTGGTGACATGGAAATAAAAACACAAAAGAATACTTATTCTAATTAGAGAAGAAAACTATAGCAAAGTGGAAAAAGTTTTTATGTGGCATGTTTAAGACAACAGACTAAAGTGATGTTTATGTTGATGCAACTACACATGCACATGAAAGTGGATGTTGAGAATTTTAAATTTTAATTATAGTCTAGACCAAGAGTCGGCAACCTATGGCCAGTGAGCTGGATCCGGTCTGCGAAGGCATTTTGACCAGCCTGCGAGCTTGATTACCAATGACTATTTTTAACATGAGAGAGGACCTTCAATAATGGATACATATTTGTTATGACCCTTGGCTACATTAAAAGATAACAGAAGCAAAAAGAACGATAAGTGAAAGAGGCCAGGGAGGGACTGACATGCGAGGTAGCAGAAATCTAAAGACAGTTAAACATACGCGCATTATACATACATGCCTCATGAATGTGTGGATGATACCGCATGTGTACGTACGTAAGTGTATATGTTTGCAACTATTTGTACTCGTATGTATGGGTATATGTGCTTCATTTTTGTTTGATGTGTGTATGTGTGGTTCGTTTGTAGAACAATTTTCAATAATAGTTTCAAACCTACACGTCATAATTTCATCCATTTCACTTCGGTTGATTTTTTCCACTTTGAAGTATTTTGACGTTCCTTGAGGAAAAGGAATTTTTGTTAGGTGTTTTTTAATTTTAGATTTTCTTTTGTTTTTCTGATTTCTCAATGTTTATTTTCATTATGGTTTTAAATATTTAGGTTGACAGGGGTCTGCATATGTAATTTTCCTTAATTTTTCATTAATGGCCTTCATCCGGCCCATGACCCCTCATTATAACATGATCCGCCCCACGGGGTCGAATGAGTTGCCGACCCCTGGTCTAGACGATTTCATTTTTACTTTTGTTCATGTTTCCATCACTTTTGTTGTTAAATATTGCACATTAGGAAAATAAGAGATCTGTCAAAGTGAAATGTTGTAAGAGCCGGGATGTAAATTTACTGATTATTCTGATTACAAAAATAAAAATATTTATATCCTGAATCTAATTGGTCCTTCAGCTTGTATACTAATCATATTTTAACAGTTCAATTCCATGTGTCATGCCTTTTCTAGATATCTCAGTTTCAGTTAATTCCCTTTAGTAACTCAATTCTCCAATTTTTTGTTCATCTCTGCTGTGGCCAAGTATTGAACTCAACTATTTGAGCCAAGTCACTTTTTGGGTTAATTCAACCAATAGGCCATATGTCCATGTGGAATTAGAACAATCTATCCCCATGGACTAAATAAATGGTTTTGTTTGAAATTCCAGTGTATATCACCTGAAGAAGGTCAGTGCATATAAAGGCCAAAACATTATGAACATGGCAATAAAGATGAGGACAACAGTCCGAACGATGTAAATAGTTACAATACCCCATCTCAGAAATAGACAGATGTTACTTTTATCTGTTATGACTAGGATTTTAATCTTACTGCTTCCTTTAACCCATATCTACCCCCACCCATTAAATATATATTTAAAGTATAATTCTGCAAACAGAAAATTATATTGTAATATGTTGGAAAATTTTCAAGTTTTCATATGAAAACAAGAAAATGCAAACTAAGCAAAATGGTTACGACATATAAAAAATATTGTCAGTTTAAACTGATGCCAGGAGTAATACAGGCTAACTGAGATTCTATGACACAATGGAGATTTGGATCAAGAAATTCAAAACACATTGTTTTGTATATAGCAGATCTGATATTTTTATTTTTATAAATATATCATAAGCAATATTTGTATAGCTTCAAATTATATTGAAGCACTTTTGATGTTGGTTAAAAAAAATTGACATATTATTTAGACTATTTCAAAGCTAACTAATAATGTTCATGGCATTCAAACTGAGTACATTTCAATTTCTTGTAATAGAAACTTAAATGAATCTGGATTCAGAAGTCTTTTAAAAGCAAACCAAAGATACAAGTTAATAATTGTTCACCTGTATGCTGCATTAAAGTTAAATTATAAATGTGACATAAAAAATGCTAATTGTGGAGGTAAGAAATTAATTTATGCAAAAATAAAAAAAAAAAGACCATTTTAGTATTGAAGAAATCAAATCCTTTTATTAGGCCAACAACCACTGGAAGGCACAGAACACCAAGGAATGCAGACAATGCTGAGAAGTTGAAAACAAAAACAAACAAAATTATGTAAGGATAAAATGAAAAGAAATACTCAAGATAATAATGGAAAGACAAAAATCTGATTTAAAAAGTTAATATTAAAGGGTAGCTTTGAAATCTGCAACTGGAAATTAAAAAAACGGACCGAAATATTTTAACAGGGAGACAGATGATTAAAATAAAAAAATATAATTTTAAATGAAGCTGCAAAAGATCAGCTAAGTCAGTCTTCATACAAAATAATATTATGAAAAAGCTTTCTTTTGGGGGATACTGATGGGTTTAGGCTGTGTTGTCATTGAAACCACAGTCAAAAATGCAATATCATATTAAAAATTTCTAGTTAAACATTTGCTAGAGGCTAGAGGACATCATGTTGACATCTACAAGCCAGTAAAGAGGACTCATGCAGACATTGCTGAAACTGTTGAATATTAGAAACCCTGATTAAAGAGAAAATTAAGTTTTATTACTAAGGTTTTAGCTTAATTTGCTATTAATCCATGCAATAAAAAAAACCAAAAAAAACCTTGAATATCATTATAAAAAAAAAAAAAAAAAAGAATACAATAAAGAATCATTTAAAGATTGACTACCATATATATATATATATATATATATATATATAGGGGGGGGGCATAACCAGTAACCTGAAATTGGGCACAGAGTTATGCCTTGACAATATAAGGAAAGTGCTATTTTTCCCTATTAAAAAAAAAATTGTTTCTATGTAGAGCTGGGACAATATATCTAACAGGAATGTACAACAGAAGTGAGATTGAATAAAAACTCATTAGGTTAACTAGCATTAATTTTAAGCAATTAACTTTCAAACAGGTTTCATATAAAGGCAAAGAACATCCATATTCCATATATAATCTAACAAATTAAGGAAGGTCTAAATTTTAATTTTTTTTTTTTCAATAAAATTCACCTGAAAAACATTTTGAGATTTTACAAAAGGAGTTACCTGGACATTGATTAAAGATACAGTCAGTCTGATTTTTCAACAACAAAGTTTCAAAATAAACCAGTTTAGAAATCACTGACAACAAAAATAATAGTAAACTGCAAGAACAATTTGAACAACTTGAAAATATAATTTTCCTATCACCTACCATTAATTGACTGTAAAAGAATATATATATATATATATATATATATATATTGATATTTCTTGTCTGAGATGCCTGAATGAATTTCAATGAAACTTTATCATCTTGTACATTGCCCAAGTTTACATGAACATGAGGAAAGATTGGCTTTAGAAAAAATAAAAATCCAACAATCAGGATTTGGACACAAAATCCATCAAAGAGAAAACTGACATTACAACAAATTTGTGACATTCTCAGTCATTTTAACCAAGTTTTGTTTCTCATTTCGAACTCAAATTCTGAATGTGAAAAACATTTTAGCCTTTTTCTCTAAAAGGAATTGTCTTTTGGAAAAAAAAAAAAAAAAAAATGACTTGAGAAACTTGGGCTATGCACATATTTTACAAAGTCTGCTTGAGATCTGCATAAATTCAAAAAAAAAAAAAAAAAAAAAAAAATAAAATGCAGTCACAGGCTTACATAGATTCATTATTAACGAATAGATGTTATAGAGAAATAGAAGTAACATTAGAGCAGATGGAAGCAATTCTGTTATAAAAATCAAGACAAAAAAAAATCAAAAGAAATAACAACAACACAGGCTGACTGTAATTACAAAAGTGATGACTTTTTAAATAGAGCATAAATCACTTGGATATTTAGAGGAAGCTGTTTGGCTTAGAAAAAGAGAAAGAAATATGAGAATAGAAAAAAATAGTCAATGAGCAGCAGAAACAGGAAGTGATCAGCTCATATCAAAATAATCAATAATAGGTTTGTCTGCAGGTTTGGCCGGAGGAGCAGCAGCTGTAGTAACGGTGGTAGTAGCATTAGTAGTAGAATTACGAGACATCTTGTTCAATACAACACAGCCCTGTTTTGAAGATGTTGCTCGTCTGTGAAGGAAAGAAAGAAAAAAAAACTTATATTTTTTAAATAGAAATCACAAATAGTGTCAAATCAAATCATTCTAACAAAAAGAAGAAAAAAATTACTTTACAAATTGGATTGAAATTTTTTTCATTGGACAAAAATCTATTTAAGCTTGTATGCTTGTATTAATTTGGCAACTTGACTTTCTATGCCAATAACTTACATACTACCTTCACATAGCAAATAAATAAAAATCATTAGAAAATATTGATATGCAACCCAAACAAATTTGAAAAAAAAATTAAAACTTTAAATTGATATGGAATGTCAGTAAATGACAGGAAAAAGGACAATAAATTACTGTATTTCTTAACATAGAGGACATTCTAATCTCAGGTACACATCCTAATCTTGAGTTGCAAAATTTTTAAAAATCTATGTATAGCAATAACAGCTTATATGTATTAAGTTCAAATGACATTAACACAAGACTAGCAATTATTGCCTTATTCAATCCATTGCACCTGCCACAAATTTGACATGTCATTACATATATATATATATATATATATATATATATATATATTTTAAATGCATCACTCTTCATTAGAATTGAGCGCTATGGCAGCCATATGGTGTTTATATACCATGTATATAATGCATTAAAAAATTCCTTTTCTCTGCTGCATGCCAGTAGCCTTAGAGGCAAGGGTCTCTGACTGATCAGTCGAGTTTCGATCTCAGCTTGGAGCTTGGATGTCTAGCCACACTGATGAGCTGTCACACTGCAAAACAGTCTGTTTATATATATATATATAAAAAACAAAAGTTGTGATATTTGATTAAAAAATCCTACTTATAATGACACTGGTTACATGAAAAGCTAGTTTTAAATAAAATTCCCAAAACTACAAAACTATGAAATAGAAGTCAGGGAAATTTCTATAAGAAAGTAAAATTGCATTTTGGTAGGTAAGCGGGTCATCTAAAAATCTTTCAGGAAGCTTCTGGCCTTTAATATTCAATTCTCAGACTGGATATAAGTACAAATTCCAAAAGAATCTGCATTTTTTTTTTCTCTCAGTTTTACTATGTTATAATAAAACTAAAAATTCCTCTGAAAGGAACTACTCCGGTTAGATTTGCAAAGACATCAGCTTATATAAAGATAATTTCTTATAGTATGTCAAAAAGTAAAAATGACTATTTTATAAGGTAAACAGATTTTAATATAATTTTGCTAAAAATCATTAACTTATTCTCTGGTGAAAAAAAATGTTTTAGAAGGCCATGTCAAGACTTTTCTCATATCAGATGACAGTAACTGTACAGCCCTTCATTCTTTCTGGTCCATAACAAAAGGAAACTTGAATCTAAAATACTTAAGAGACAATCAAGCTTACTCCTATTAGTATCTTTTCAGCTGGTAAACTATGATTCATATATTCTTACGTATTTACAGAGAAATTAAAGAAACTTTTAAAAGTGAAGGTTCATAAAAATCTACATATTTCAATTAAGGCAAATAAAACAGGAAAGATCAAATTAAAAAAAAAATCTAATTTACATTCATTAGTTGTAGTTTTATCGCATGATTTCATAAAGCATCAACTTTTCGTTGTTTATTACAATGGATTATATTAGAATGGATTATTTTTGTTACATCTTTTAATGTAATAAAATAAAATAGAGTCCAGTAGGATTTTACTTTTACTTATGCGGAATCCACATGCAAAACTAGTATAATCTGATGAAAACTGGTTCACAATGTCATGCCAGACAATTTTTCTTACCAGAATCCATCTTGTACATTTATAAATCTAACATTCATCTATGCATTGAATATTGCTGCTATGTCTGGTCTGGTTCTCCTGCTATATATCTTGAAATTCTTGACAAAATCCAAAGAAGGTTCTGTAATGTTTTCGGTCCTGCCTTGGAATCTTGATATTTTCATGGCAATTGTTCTTTCCTCCTTGAAACCTCAACTGCATGAATTTAAACATACTATTAGATTAGCAACTAGGTCTAATCATTTTACTGTGGAACTCGTCTGATTTCTTGCTTCCCTGCTACCCTATGATTTTCAAAAATTTAAATACAACATTATATTCACCATCTTCCATATACCTGAATCCTGTTCTTTTATTGTTGTTTCTCTTCCATAACATTTTCTCATTTCCTTTCACTCTTGGTAACACTTTGTAACTTAGTGGCAATATTGCCTTGTTTGAGATGAAATGATTAAACAAAAAAAAAAAAAATCTCCAATACACTATTTTACAAACCACTTTTAACATATTCAACCATTTGCAGTATTTTATTCAGGAATTTTACTCACTGAACATTTTGCATTGGAGTTATATTTTTACCTTAATTAAAAAAAAAAAAAAATCATTATTTTCTTCCATATTCAATATTACAATCAATTAAAATATGCCAATTTTGACAATTAAAAAAAAAATGTATGTACAGATATGATGATGGGTTAATGACAATGTTTCAGCCATTGTGTCTTCTGGCTTCCATCAGGTGCTTGTCAATCCAGGGAATTTCAAACTGAACCCTTTATTTAATCTACAAGGGGGATAGATAAACCACTTGATGAAGTCTGAAGAATAGAACACCTGAAACATTTGTGTTAACAAGAAAGACAGGGACAACAATATTCCACATGTAAATAATGATAACAGGAGTCAGAAAATTTGAATCATCTTTCCAAATTAAAACTAAACCTTCCTAATTTCATCTAGCAAAACTTTCCAGGCTAACCAATATTAAATAATTAAAAAAATACAGATTTTAAGAATGATTTTTGTCCAACCTTTCATTATCGTCAAGCAGATGTGTAATCGGGAGTGGAACTTTGCGATCCTTTTGCAGCATTGCAGTCAGTGTTACACTTGGCAGCCAACATTTATCTCTGGAAGAAAAATTGAAAATATTTGTGCAAAAAAGACAACCAAATCCATTGAAGACCCATCATTTATTTGCCTATTTCTTTCAACACCTACAGAAGATAGAGACCAGAAGAAAAACTTGCCTTTTACAATAAGCAAGACAATGATGACAGTCTTATGAACGGCTATTTGCTAAAATCAATAACACAAAATTACTAGTAACCCTGATTACCTGAAAACTTTTAATCTTCAATGAATAATATTTTGCAAACAAGTCTATCTTTTTGTTATCTTTAAGGAGCAATGCATTTTTATAAATATTCCCACAATTGAAAAAAAAGATAACTGCCCAGCTGACATATGTTCCTGCAATGTTATATATTTCAGGTAGCTGGGGCTTGAGAAGGCAATCCATCTAGGGGGAAGGACAACCCTGATTTTAAACATCCGCTGCCTGGCAGTCATATCCAAACACAGAAAAGGCTATGGAAGTAAATCCAAACAGAAAACCCAGAATACCAAGCTAGCCCCAAATGTAATGGCCTGTATTCTTTTGGATCTTGTCAGTATGGCCGAGAATGGGGCCCACGTAGTTTGAGCAGCATATGACCTCCATATAACATTACCCAGGCTTGCATACTGGAGAGGCTACTCCACAGTCTTACTGCCAAATTTTGACAAAACAGATCACTACCTTTATTTCACAAGATAAAAGAATGCCTGCTTATATAGAGGTTGCAAAAACACGTTTTTTTTGTATACTCTTCACAATGTGTCCAAAGTATTGATTTGTAAAATTACGTTAACGGAAAATGAATAATAAATTCCAGGAAGATATTGGAACATGTATTCATCAGTTAGAAATTCTGAATTAGAAAAAATACAAAAAGAAATGTTATACCTTCTATACATGTTACTAAGTGAAGAAAAAGTACAGAGCAATCTCGGCTTTCGAATGTCTCACATGTCGAACAAATCAGTTTTCGAAAAGAAAATTCGAGATGAAAATACCTCAGTTATCAAACAAAATTTTGGTTCTCGAACAACATTGCCGAACTGAGTTAATCCAAACAGAATCATTTCTGTGTTGACTACCATGTTGTATCAATTTTATTGTACTGTGACTTTTTTTTTACTCTTTATTGATTCCTCTTGAAAAAATAGTTTTGATTTATAAACATTTCAGATTACGAACAGCCTTAAGGAACGAATTAAATTCATGAACCAAGGTTCCACTGTAATCTGATGTTATTTGACCCAAGTGGAATTTTTCAGCTAGTGTACTTCATGTCATTACCATAATGTTATGACAATATTGTGGATGAGCAGTGAGAAATAGAGCTGATATATATTGCAACATTGCAGTAACATCACCACAATGTCACATGCCGCCCAATCAAAATACAAAATGTCCATAATATTGCAAGTACGTTGTGTTAGCATAGTGATAAACCAAAAAGTGAAATAAGAAAAATGATTGTGATATTGTAGAGTTTCATATTACTGTCAGTCAGTTTAAAAGTTTAAAGAAGCCTTGGCAATTAAAAACAAAAATACAGTTCTACTTACTTTCGTGCAATGGCAACAACATTGCGATTAGGCTCCATGTCATAAGCCTCAGTTTGGCAGCCATAATGCTCAGCAAGTTCATGAACAACTTTACGTTGTTCTTTATTCATTGGAGGAAATGAGTGACTTTTATAGTTTTGTTTTGTCTGTAAAAAAAATTAAATAAATATATATGTGTGTGTGTGTGTGTGTGTGTGTGTAAAAATTCAGATACAACTAAAAATATATGCGTAAAAGACAATATGAATAAAGAAAAAAGGAAAACTTATCTTAGCCAATGTATTTCCTCTTTTGGTCTTTAGCGAGGCAAATGTAAGGATCTTATTTAATGACAAGTATTTATACACAAGCAACACTTGTCATCAGTTTTTAGAAATTTTAAGTTTAAGAACATTCATAAATAAAAGTCAGACTAGCTGAAAGTCAAAGTAAATTATGGAGGATACTAAGTAATGTAATTTAATGTCTAATAAATGAGAGTGAGTAAATGTTGAATTTATTTTTTATAATGTAATTATTATTTATATTATTTTAGTTTCAGATTAATTTATATATTATATATTTTAAATTTAATATTTATAATTCAACAGTTTTCATTTAGTTTTTATAATCATATATGTTAGCTTGGAAAAAAAGAGTATTTCTTTTAGGAAAGGAGATATTTGAAAAATTCCTGGGCACAGATTTATATTTTGGTAAGATTCAACATCAGTACTCTCAAGAATTTTCCATCTAAGTAAATTAGTTTCTCTTTTAATGAGTGTAGCATTCTTTAGATCAAAGTCATAATTTCTATGTATGACTAATGCATTTAATAAATTGTTATGTATAAGATGCTTTTTCTTTTCTTTTTAAATAGATACAATTTTTTAATTGTATAAATTTTTGTTACAAAATAAAATCTTTACATTTGCCTTGATAAAGTTCATCAGAGGACAAAACACATTGGCTAAGTTTGCCTTTTGTTTATATTATATATATATATATACACACACAGATTTTTATCATAAAAATAATATAGACTTAGGAATGGGAAACCTTTATTATTGCACTACACAGACAATTTAAATGTTTCTGCACCAATTAAATAAAAAAAATCTAAACTCTTGTATAACATTTGGATATTGTTTTGTTTTTATGGATTTTGGAAAAAAAAAATTTGGCCAGAACATATTCTGTAATTTTGAATTTCTCAAGGACTCTTGGCACAGCCCTGATGGTAACCAGTCAGAGGGGACTTTAATATATATGCATGAATGGATACTTCACTGTAAAGTTACTCAGACATCAGACCAACACTATTAAGTGATCTATGTGACCGTCACATTTACACTGACTCAGCAAGTAGATTCTTCCAGCCTCCTGCAGGCTTCGTTGATAAATCATTATATTACACAGTTCTGTCAGTCCCAGCCCAGGCTCAGAAATAGCACCTTGCAAATTCTGACTTTTCCCAAAGCTAAAATGGCCACTGAAACCTCATGGATAAAACTCAAGAAAACTTAACAAAGAAGCATATGGAGAACCCTACGAGAAAACCTTACATAGTGTTTTGAAAAGTGGAACAGACACGGGGCTAAATTATGTAAGGTCCCAAGGAGGGTACTTAGAAAGGGGGGGAGGTGCTACTACTCTAAGTAGGCTTACTTTAATATTAGATGGCTGAATAATACATTCTGGATTGACTTGGTGTACAAGGTCTGTCTGAAAAGTTATGGGACTGCTGTCACAAACAATTTACTTCAATTCCAAACAACAAACTATGTGGTTTCCCCTTCAAAGTAATCCTTGTTGAGTAATGCATTTTACAATCTTTCTCTGCCTCTTCTTGGATGCCTCTCTGCTATGTCCTCACGGCCCTAGCACCTAATTTTGAGACAGACTTAATATATATTAACAAATGGGAAACACACATTCAAGCAAATTGTGGAAGATTTTTTCTTTCAATGCTTTATATCACTTGAAGGAAAAGAAAAATTAATGCTAAATTATTTAAATTTTAATCACATAAAGACCAAAAACAGAAGGAAATTTATTTAAAATGCTGGAAAAAAAAAATGATCAATTGCCTGTACCACTCCAGTGAGCACATGACTTCTCTTATCCTCTACAAGAGCCAAATCAGATCAAAAATAGAATACTACTGCTATATCTGGGCTGGAGCTGCCCTGTCTTCAATTTCTAGTCTTGATTGAGTTCAAAAGTGTTTATGTAACTTTGTGAAATATTTCACACCCTACAACCTCTCTTACCCGCAGATGAAACATTGTAAGCCTCTTGCTACTCTATTTTTTTTAATTTCCCAGTTTGTTTGATTTAACATATGAAAAGAAGTCACTAATTTTTTTCCAGTTCACCTCCCAAAACTATTTAACTATGACTAATCAAAACTGATATGGGTCATCCTTGTCATGATTTGTGTTTCTGAGCTTTGTAAAGATTCACAATTTTAACAAAAATTAATACAATCGAAGAAAAAATTACTTTTTCAATAAGAAAATTCATACAAAATAAAAACATTATATTGTAAAGAAGATGAAAAATAATATTATCGATTTATTCATTTTTTTTTTTTTTTTTTTTTTTTTAAAGACTGCCAATTACAGAATGTGAGAATACAGAATAAGTATGTGCATTAGTTTACCCCATTATGAGATGGCAACAATCTACTATAAGATTATTTGACACTATTAGGTTTGGGTAGCATAACATTGAATCAGTGAGCCAAGTACTAATTCCAAGCTAGTCTGTAGAATTTACTTTTTTTTCTTAGGAAAGAAATGAATTCTGATATTCTCCCTCATTTTAAATAAGAGAAGACCTCACTCTCTAGCCTTGAGTGGTAGCCAGTCTAGAAGGACAACTCAAAATTCAAATTCATTATTTTTTCCCAAGAATTCATAGCAATTCTTCTCAGATAATAAAGAAAAGAAAATTGTAAAGAACCATGATTGCCAACAATCTGAAGGAACATGGCATTAAAAAAGAAATTAAATTAAAATCCATTAGAGATTGTATTGCATTCTGTAGGAAAAAATGCTTACAAGTGGACAGGGAGTTGTTTATAAGAGATTGGTTGCGACAAACACATTTCACTGAATCTCACCTGCTTTGTACTCTGGACCAAGTCTGACAACGATTTTTCAATTGAAGTAACAACTTGTGAATGTTGCCTGAAACATTAAAGAAAAATACATTCAGTATCATTTTCAATAAATAACTTTTCTGTTCTACAAATGGCCAATACTCTCATAATCACAAGTTTTTAATTTAAAACAACCACCAATAAAAACATTTCATGCAAGTTTTGGTATGTTAAACTAGAGATCAAATAACAAGAGTTGATTCATTCATTTATCCCTTTTTTGTTTTCCTACAATCATAAGAACTTCTTTTTTTGTCTTTTCCTTTATTTATTACAAATACAAACCATTTCAACTACGTCTCTGCTCGTAATCCCAACCCTATCAATTAATCATTCTACTTTTTTCCAACATCAAAGATTTTTAACTTCAAGATTTTTCTCAACTCTACTATTTAACAAGTATTCTAAATCAGATTTGCAAATATTTCTAACATCACTTTAAATGAAGATGAGAAATAAACAATCTATTTTCATAATATCTTACATGATTTCAGTACATACTAACACATTTATTTTCTCTTACTAACTTTCCTGTTAGTGAAATGTTCTTTCTCACTGTGGGGTGAGAATCTGAAAATAATTTGGCATTTTGAAAATAAAAAAGTTTTCTGAAAATCTGTACATTTGAAAAAACAGATAATCAAAAGTAAAATTTGAGAATTTAGTTTTATGCCAAAATTTTATGAAACTTTACCAATAAGTTGGGGTGAATTTCACCATCACATTATTTTTAGAGCATGACTTATCACCACACAGTGATACTACAGGCAATGTTATCATCACTGTACAGACATAGGTTAAATGTTCTGAGGGTAATGAAGGTGGATTGGGAAGCTTTGTTTATCCGCTGGAAGTAGTTAGAGTAAGAGGGTAAAGAGGGGGAAGTATAGACAGAAGAATTTCAGAAGCTTTATCACTCATACAGTCAGTAAAGTAGTTACAGAATTACTGCAGATTTGTTTTGTAAATGGTCATCTCCAGTCTTCCTGGCACCAGTGTGGAATAAGTTCAAGAAATATCCTTCTCTTACCAGCCAAGGCAACATAGAGAAAGAACACTTACATAGAAGTTCACTGTACAGTGATAACACACTATGACTTTTATAAAATACCTTTTAATATTAATAAGAAATAAATGTATTTTTATGAAATACTTTTTAATTTCCTATAGCAGTAATTGATAAGTAACCATAAATTATTTATATTCTCAATGAAAATACCAAAAAAATATCAACAAATGGTGATAATAAAACAACTGGTTTTTTTCACCATGTGGTGGCTATAATGAGATCAGTAATATCCCTCTATGGTGATAATACACACAGCCTTATTTTTAAGTGTCACTTCATTTATATTGATTTATATTGAATTTTTTTGCAAAGTCTACAAAAGACAGACATTTATAAATTCAAAATAAAATTTACAAGAATGCCATTAAGGAAAAGGTTTTTTTTCAAGTAAACAATAACAAAGAAAAAAAAAAAAAAAAAACATTTGTCAAACTTACTTAGCAAAATCTTTTAAGAACTGTGAATAGGGAGGATTACCCAATTTGGAAGAGAGATCTGGATTTTTGATTTCCAGAGCCAAAGCCATGCGCCGGTTCCTCTCTCGAATGCTGCATTCCTCATTACAATCAAGCCTTACAAGACAAATTGCAAAATCTATGTTAAAAGTGTAAAATCAAAAATTCATATGGAAAAACTTTTGGGGTTTTTCTTTTACAAGCACAAACATAAGGAAGTGCTGAAAAATTCTTGGTTTAATCAAAGAAGGAAATTTCTTCTAAACGCACTACATTCTGATATTTGGTTATATTTTGGGAAGTAAATCAGATTGAGAACTTTTCAGCACCCACCCTATATTCATCCAAATCCTAAAGAGACCATTACAAAAGTTGCCACTCAAGAATCTGTTTTATTTAGCAACATTATAAAAAACAAAATATTCCACAAATTCATTTTTTTTTTTATTTTAATTCATTTTTATAAATTTTTTAGTGTTACAAATGAAAGTGCATATAGTATCAGAGAAAATTTATCTACCAATAAACACTGGTTTAATTGCAATAAACTATTAAAATTGGAATATCCACTTCTCCATAATAATTTGTCAGATTATCCAGTAAGCATATTTAAATAGTTACATTTATTCTTGTCAGTAGAACAATGTAAGAGAAAACAATAATACATTATATATATATATATATAAAACAAGTCATAATCAGCAGGAAGAGGCAGAAGTATAGATATTAAAAAAAACAACTATGTTAAAGCACTCACTGTCTCCGTCCAGATTTGGCTCCTCGCCCAAATTTGGTAATGTCGACATCATTTCCAAGTGACATATTCTTCAGATCATCCAGAGTAATTCTAAAATAAACAATTTAATGAAGAAAAAAAATAAAAATCCTTTTCTGCAGCATTCTGTAACTTTTTGTCTTAAATACAGTTCCCGTCAAAAGTGATATATAGTGAATCATTAAAATATGATCAAGTACATTTTTTTATATATATATATATATATATATATATATATATATATATATATATATATATATATGTGTGTGTGTGTGTGTGTGTGTGTAAAATTTCAGATAGAGTATATCTGTGAAAGGATAATATGAATAAAGACAAAGGAAAACTTGTATATAAATATATATACAAGAGCAAAAATGTTACTGGTTTTTCAAAATTTTAAATTTAAGAACACTCAAATATTCATCAGGCAAATGTGGAGAATGCAAAGTGACACAATTCAATGTGTGATAAGCGAAAATGAGTAACTGATGTTCTTGAAATTTTTTTAATGCAAATTAGTATTTAAATTATTTTAGTTTAGGATTAATTTATGTGTTATATATTTTAAATAACATGAGGTTATGAATTTAATTGTTTTCTTTTATTCTTTAACATTTTTATAGTCATGTATGTTGGCTTTGGAAAGTAGTTCTTTCAGGAATGGAAATATTGGAAAAAAATCCAAGGTGCAGATTTATATTTTGATAAGATTCAATAACAGCACTCTTGAGAAATTTCTGTCTAAATAAGTTACTTTCTCTTTCAATAAATGTGGCAATCTTTAAATCAAAGTTGTGGTTGAATTTATGTATAACTAATGCATTTGATAAATTGTGTGTAAGATTCCTTTTGTGTTCAGAGATACATTTTTTTTTCATTTCTGCAAGTTTCCCTAATGTATTGTGACGAGCAGTACTGGCAATTTATTTCAGAATTATTATTGTTATGGATATTTTTGGTTCTGATCATAACCATAATAGTTTTGAATGTGGTTGTAATTATTTTGATGTTTAGATTGAATAAATTCTTTTGGATAGTGGATGTTATGGAATTAGGAAGTAGTGTTATGCATATTTTTATATAGTTTATTGTTGTTAGTTTCATATATATATATCAGTGAATTTAAAGAAATGAAAACTTAAATATACTTATAAATAGTCCTTATAATATACCTTGATATTTTGGTTGTTATACTCACAACATTTTAGTCATGTCCTCTTCAGGTATCTGTCTTAATACTTGGTAATCTTGAAATTTCAAACTTTATTCAATCCATCAGGCTAGAGTACCCTGACTTGAGTAGTAAAGCTTTAAAGTCCTTTCTTAATTAGATGTACCTAAATGGTCTACTGAAGAGGTTGCCAGTGCCTAACATGCGTGTAGTCTCTTTCAGTTTTCTTCTCCAGTGTTGTTCTCTATTAATAACCTCATCCCACAAGGATTAATAGCTACCCTTTTCCTTTCACATATAATTAGCCAAGTTTGATTTCAGTGTCTTCCTTCAGACAACAGATTTTCTCCATCCATACTTTTATAATTCCACCACTAGAGTCAAGAAATTCATAGTCATCCAACAGAGAACAAACATTAGGTATAAGGTCCAAAATTTCACCAATAGATTGGCCAAGAGACACATGGTTTAGGATTAAAGCATTGGTTAAAACATATTTGATTTTCTGGAAGTTCAATCCCTAGCTCTGGTAGTGCTGAAAAGTAACATACTCATGAATAAGCCTGACAAGTATTAACTGATGTGAAATAAACTAAGTATAGAATGGGAACAACTTGTCCCTGTGAATTAAATAAAGAGTTTAGTTCAGAATTCCAAAATGGTTACTAAGTACAACAAACACCTGATGAAGGCTGGAGGACACAATGGCTGAAATCTTGTAAGTATAACCAAAATAAGCATATTGGCCAGATTAGCAGAGTATATAATGATGATAATTTTTATCTTTAAAGTTCTGATAAAAATTGTAAGCAAGTCAATATTTGATTAACAATGTCCACTGGATTTTAATTACTTATAAGAGTCTTTTCCAAAATTAATTTAATTTTCTTTGGATTGTCTGATGATCCTGCTTTCTTAAACACACAACTGAATTAACAAAGCTGTGACAAGTAAAAAGAAAAAAATACAATTCTTAAAACAGAGAAAATAATTATAATAATTGACAATTTTTTCATCCAACTTACTTAGAAAATTCTGTGGTGATATTGTCATCTCCTAAAAGGCACTGGATGCTGGCAGAGCGATATCCACAAGGACATTTTACTGATATCTACATGAACACAAAAATGCTATAAGATTTCAAAGTATGATATTTGCAAGTCATTTTAAAAAAAGAAAAATGAATACAATACTCAAGTGTTCTCTTTCCTTTGTTTAAATTTTAGTCATGGTACACTATTTGCAAGTCAAAGAATACCTCCACCACCCACCCACCTTTTAATAGACACTGAAGATTATATTACATTTTCAAGTTTTGTTTTTTCAGAAAATCAACATGACTGAAATATATGACTCAAGCTAACAAAACTGGTTTATACCTCAATTTTAACAAAGAAAGTTTTAACTATGAATTGACCTATTTAGAAACTCACACTTTCTATTTTCTCATTTTATATATATATATATATATATATATATATATATATATATATATATCTCCCATATTCACATCACAACAAAAAGTGTGCTCAGCATAAAAAGCAATTCTTACATTTGAAATGAAAACTAACTTTTTCTATTCACTGATTTTTTTCACCTTTAGTTCTATCATATTTATTTTTTCAATAATACCAAACGTATTATTAACATTTGGAATCAATCAGTTCGGAAAACAGATTTGAACATTTTTCATTTAAACAAATTGAATGCATTTTTTTCACTACACAAGGACTGAACATTATTGAAGCCAAGATGGCAGTCAGTTACAGTTTGTGAAAGAAAACTAAGTGTGTATTAAATATGCTGAAATGTTGCTTTACATTTTTTGTTCTTTTTCATTTGTTTAAAAATAAGAGTTACAACTAATTCATAGCTACAAGATACTTCCCATCTACTGGTGATAATTTAGTTTTATAAGCTTCTTATATTTACAAGCAAACTAATTCTGATCAACAATACAGGAAATAACTAACATTAAGTAAAAAGTACAAGCGTAGTTAAATTTTACCTGTGATTTGCATGCCACTCTTGGGCATTCTGAGCCTGGATGGCAGGGCACATTACAAGGATGACCACAGGCAGGCCGTACATTCTGGCAAGGCTGATTGCATGATTCACCTTCTGCTTGGCATGGTCCCTGGTAAAATAAAAATATTCAAGAAAAAGGCAATGTCAATTCACCTAACATTCTAAAAACTGTAAAATCTAACAAACATTTAACAGATATATTCCAAAGACTTTCAGTCTATCTGGAGAGATTTTATTAACGATAAGGATGGACAGGTGGTATAATGGTTAGCAGCTCAAAATGAGAAGTTGATGAGCAGAGTTTGAATTCTGGTCAAGTCTGTGACACTTTAAGTAGTAAGTTGCCATTTCTTTCTGCAGTATACCAGTTGCCATCCAAGGCTATAGAATCCGGTCTGTCTTGCTATTTACCCATTAAGATATTCTGTCATCACTGCATCAAGAAAGTCTCAATTTCAAAGTTGCATTTTGCAAGAAGATAAGCATTGGACACCCTATCATTAAAAGTAGGGCCACAGATCACATGGAGATTTTTTATATATATATATATATATATATATATATATATATATATAATCATTTATTTAAAAATATGATTCCAAAACGCTACATAAGAAGTCTCATGTTTCAAAACAAGAGCCGAAAACTTCAATATAATTATTTAAATTAAATCGAGTTAAAATAAGCTCTGTTCCATCTTCAAGCGAAATTTTTTTTTTGGAATAACGTATATCTGAAATTTACGTGTTTTAAAAATTGAAATCAAAATTTCCATGGTAACAGCTTGGGCGAATTGTTTAAATTGGGTAGGCGAGTGTTGGGTGTTAATAATAAGTATCAGTATACTGTCACACACACACACACACACACATACATACATACATACTCAATATATTTTAACTTTAGAAATGCAACTTTAGTTTCTGGTTTCTAGAACCTTGTCAAAACAAAATAAGGATAAAGAAAAATATATGTACAGCATTGTTCTTACTTTATGGCAAGTCTTTTTACATCTGTGTTGAACACATGGAAGAGCTTTATTGCAAGGCATTCCACATGAGACATCATTAATATGACAATGAATATTTCGACGTAGCTAGAAATAAAAAAACAATCAATGCCTTGATATTTTCAACAAAAGTTAAATGCTTTGAAAACAATTTTAAGTAAAAATTATTTTAGTAATATAAAGCAAATTTTTTTTTTTTTTTCAAAATTCCAAATGTTAAATGGACATTTCACACATTTTCAATAAATTAAAAAAAATTCAATTTTTCTAAATTTTAAATTAAAATAAGCATGTTTAAAACAGTTCAAAGACAATATACATAGTAAAAGAAAATGATTTTCTAACTAAAATTCATCTTTCAACTATTAGCAAATAGGAAAGTCATTTTTGGAAATTATTTTTTTTCAAATCATACTTTTTCAACAAGATAAAAACAGCTTTCAGCAATTCCAATACACTAAAATCTGCTATAAAAATATAGGCTGCTTATTTTGAACAATAATATGAAGGCAAAATCTTCCCACAAAAAGAACTTACTTCATGACCGCCCATACACAACTTTGAGGTGAGGACTGTACAAGGTGGACACTGATCATCACTATTACATTTGTGGTGAACTGACAGAAGAAAAATAAAAGTAGTAAAGTTAGATCTAATTTCCACTAAATGCTTATAGCATGAAAATTTTAATGAAACAAATAAGAAAATCTATTAAATGCCAAAACAAAGACACACATCAAGTTTTGATCTCATTCACACACAAACATTATTAGAAGAACATATTGTTGTAGAAAGAATAAAAAAAAATTTACTGAAACCAACCTGGATGGTCACAAGCATGAGGTTTAGTACAAAGTTTTGAGCACTCTGGAGGTTTGGTGCCACAAGGTACCGGAGGATGGATTACTTCAGCGCCACAGTAGCAAGTCAACTCTTCAAAACCTGAGAAATTCAAAAGGACAATATTGAAAATATACAAAATTAAATAAAAAAAAAAAAAACAAAAAAAAAAAAAAAAATAGAGAAAGAAAATATTCAAATTTTACTCTGAAATTTAAAAAAAAAATTTTAAAAAAATTAAAAATTTAAACTCATAAACTTAGTAATATCATAATTTTATTTTTTCAGTGTACGCCTGTAAAATAAAAAGAAGTCAAATAATAAATCTGCAACTGGGACTCAGATTCTCAACTCACCTTTACTGTGAGTTTAAGATGCAAAAACAACTAAATAATAAAAATAAGCATTTGGCATTTGCATAAAGAATCATGTGAGAAAATGATATATAAATTTGTTATATACCAGAACAATATTAAGAAAATTAATGAAAAAGTAAAAAAATTTTTTTGATGTGACACATTTTGCATTCATTGTGGGATGCTAAATAACAAAAGCAATAAAAAAAATATAAATTAAAAGAAAAAGAAACTAAATTGAAACTGGCTAAAATATATATCTAAAATATCTAAAAATTTGTTTGTTTTTTTAAATTTAAAATTTCCGCACCTCCTTCCTTCATATGCATACATAGTTGCATAAATAATTTTAGTTGAATGAAGTCCTAAAGGACAAAACATGTTACACAAAAGATTTTTTTTCCAATTTGTCATTAATTTTCACAACCAATCATCAATACTACCTGCCAATATTAATCTATTGTGCTTAATAACTTGCTTAAATGAAAATCTACTTCATTATTTCATAGATATTTAACCCTTTCACTGCTGCATTATTGCCTGACTTAGGGAAAAAATAAGAAATTGCCATTTACTAAAAAGAAATGACTATAAAAAGATGCTGATTGCAATTTCTCATCAGGACTGCCATTTTGATTTCAATAGGATACTCTGCAATACAGACTAAGATAAATGACATGCCCAACACACAATATAATAAAAATGTTACAAAACAGGTTCTATTGTATGCTACTTTATGTCTATAAGTTGTTTGGAAACTGCATTAAATGCTAGTGCTATTACACAAACACTAAAGACAAGCATTTCTTAAAAACGTGTGCATGTGTGCATGGGCAGTCAATGTAAGTTTAACCTTTATCACTCTGTATGTGAATTCATTTGCTGGACAAAAAGTTTATCCTGCCACTTGAGGTGACTAATTCCTGAATAATAGTGTGTTTGAATTTCATAGTTGTGTTATCATATCCTGCTATGGCAGCAGAAAACAACTTTGAGTGAAATTAACAATAATCATACTGCAATTGAAAAACTTTAAAAAGAATGCAGTGGAAATTATATTAGTAATGCAGCATGCTAAAGGTTAATAAAGACGTATAAATTTGTAGACAGCAGTAGAACAAACAAAAGAAAAAAAAAGAATGAAAGAAAAGTATGGACATGGAAAACAACCAAAAAATATAACCTGATATTAGATTAAATTGCCTTGAACTTTTTTGAAAACTTCTCTTGAAAATACTTTCAAAAGGAAAATTATACATTATCTTATAAAAAATTATTTTGTTCAGTTTTTACAAGCAGATTTACATCATTTTTTAAATGGTGTAAAAAAACAATTTGCAAGATTTTCTTAGAGTATAAAGTAGTTTTGATTTTTTCATACCAAGAAAAAAAAAATAAAAAAAAAAAAAATGAAATAAAAAAAAAAAAATTTCAATTCTATTTTTCCTTTGCTGACTATTGGAAAGTATGACCAATATGTATTCACTTGGTTGAAGTTAGCCAAGAATGACAGATGAGAAGAGGAAATTGAATAAGTTACTTAATTGAATAGCAGTCCAGAAGAGAGGGTCAGGCTGTCAGTAGTCAATCCCTCTTCAGTCAGGTCACTCAGCAAGAAAAGATACAGATCATGGACATAGTCAAAAGAGCATACTTACTGGCTAACAAACATGGAGGACAGTTACCACGGTGACAAGGGCGCTCACATCTATGGAGTCCACAAGTGAGCAAGTTGCGACATTCGCGTTCACAATCATGCACAGTTCGCTGCAAAATAAAAGTAATCAAGTGAATGGGTAATATTTACTAAATGATGCAAATAAAAAGAAAATCATTGAAAAAAGCAAAACAAACAAACCACTAGTTTTTATATAAAAGCAATTAATAGACTAAAAAAAAAAAAAAAAACCAAGAGTATATCACATGACTATAAATGTTATATTGAGTGGGTACACATGTTTGAATAGACATTCCTGGTTTGTTTTAAACAGTGAAATTCATATCTACCAGCCTAGAGATCAAAAGTTTTATTATGAATATGTGCCTCTCAACAGGAATTAAACCTGTATACCCTTTAATCTGAGAAACAATTTTCAAGCCATGCATACTTTACTTCTAAGCTATGGGAAATCATTACAGCAAAGCAAGGATCAATTGCCCCATTTCTCATCAGGAACTTTTGTAGTTTAAATCTGCTAACTTTGTTTAGGATTCAGGTGCAAAAATAAAGTTATTTGTAAGAAATTAATGGATTTATTAATCCAATATTATTTCAATTTTATATATATATATATATATATATATATATATATATATATATATATATATATATATATATATATATATATATATATATATATTATTTATGGGTTGTGAAAAAAGATCTAACAATGACTTTTCATACATTGAGTACATATATATTAAATTTTATTAAACTTGAACAATATCTTCAAAACAATGATATAATTTCTCTATTTGGAACTTATTGCAAAGCTGCGTGATAAACAACATTTTGGATTTTCCCCATTCGGCTTCAGTACAAATAGCTTGTTTCCATTCCCAACCATTGAACAAGCAACATGGAGCTGTCCCTGAGAAAAGCAGGGTTCCATCAAATGAAGTCCAGTTCAGTCAGTTATATGCCATGCGTGATACATGCTTAGGCAATCATGAATTTTTTGATACATGACTGACGAGGCAAATTTTTTTTCCCACAGTAGGTTGCTATTCCTTTCTGCAGTAGACCAGTTGCCATCCAAGGCTATAGAACCCGGTCTGTCCTGCTATTTACCCATAGCTGGGGGGAGAAGAAGAGGATTCATACCTTTCCCAAGGGTATTAATTGATAGAAATTGCATAGTTCACTCTCATTGGAGATCTGGAGGAATTAAAGGGATTTTTGGAATTAAAACTCTTTCCACCTTAACTGGTCCAGGAAAGACCAGTAAGGATCTCTGCTTCCAAGAGATCAGGAAGCATCTTCTTGACCAATTAACCTTCCATTACAAAGCTTAGGAGGATCCAGATTTCTCAATTGCATAACTGGCACATTTTCTTTTAGTACCAGCTTGTGTGATAGCATTCCAAAAGGATTCAAGGAGTTCAGGAACTCTATTGGATAATTCACTGTCTGCTCTTGTTCAACCACAGTGTCAATGGAAAGGTACTTCATGCTTTCTTTTGAAATTTCTTGGAGAAGTTTCCAGTTGATGCTATTCAGTTTGATCCTTGGGAGCTAATATGGCAATTTCACAAAGCCAGTTTGAATCCATAGAAATGGTGTTTAGTGTTTGGATACTGAAACTCCACAATCATTTGTGAGTGAAATATCTCCATTTTGGCCAATTTTGATGGCTCTATTGTTAAGCTGCAACAGCAAAGCAGCAAATCTTCCTGCTTCCAGGTCACCTGTGATTCTAACCCATGTTTATCATCAGGCTGAGTCTTTAAACATGGCTCCAGATGTAAAAATTTTTCAGAGAGTTGTGTCCCTTTAATTGAAAAAGTGACACAGACATTTTCACATTCATTATATAAGTAAAATACCAAAATACCTGAGGAATCTGAGTTCACCTCCTTTAACAAAATATTTATGTCTGTAATATTAGTAATTTATAGTTCACAAGAAAGAGCTTTTATCAACAATAAAATAATTGGATTTCATATGAGCTGAACAGTTTACTGATGAAAATGGCAAATAAGATTTTATTTTCATTTCAAAAAAAAAAAAAAAAAATACTTCTCACTATTTCACTATATGTATATATATTATATATATGGAAATATATATAAATTCCGAATTTTTTAAATATCCCTCTGAAAAATTGTCTACACTTTGGGTAATATTTAGAAAATGTTGTATCAAACAATTTGTGCTAACATAAAAACAAGCACGCAAACTACGTTTTCAAATATCTGAATCAGAGCAAGAGTAAAAAATAAATAAATAAATGATTAAAAATAATACATTAATTTATTATTAATTGATATGTAATATAGATAACAATTTATACATAATTATAATGACTGATAAACTGAAATTTAGAAAGGCTGTATCAAATTTTAAATTAATTTTAGATATATTATTCAGCTAGACAAATAATTTCTAAGAGTTTAGAATTGCTATTGAAAAGGAGAGCTGCATATATCCAGTAAGACTAAAATATAAAAATTCATATTGAATATTCAGAATTATTAAATGCACATTTAAATAAAAGATTTTTATCATAAGAAAAAAAAAACAGAACACTGAGCACAAGAGTGTAGCAAAATGCATCTTTTATAAGATTATAAATGTGAAAAGAGAAAAAAACTTGCCTTACCACACAACATGGCTGTGAACATTTGTGTTTGCCACAGTTTCTTTTTTTATTGCAACGTTTTTCACATAGAAAAGGATTTTCCTCTGCAGAAATAAAAAGATATAAATATTCTAAATTTAAAAATCATTATAACAATAAAAGTTAAAGATTATTAACAGAATTATCTAAGAAAACACAAAGAAAAGGTAATTTAAGATTTGAGATTTTTCTGATAATATTATTTTAATTTTTTTTGTGGTGTAGTTAGGAGAAAAGTTTCAAAAACATTAAAATGCTAAATATCTAATTGAATGGTGGGGAATAAAATCAGAAAAACAAAATTATAATCTGATCAAATTTAATTTTTTCTTACAGAACAAAATATTTTTTTCAGTTTATTTTCACAGAGAATTACAACAACTGAGATTTTGTTTATATTTTCAAATCATCAAGTTTTTAACCAACTCTCAACTGACCAACAAACTTTAAGGTTTGTACTTTATTCAAAATTACTAAATGTTTCTGCACTTATTAAGCATGTATGAAAGAAAAGCATGAAAACAGAAAAGTAAGCAAAATACAAGTCAAAGAGAAGACAGGTTATTTTTGCTTAGCAGCATATATTGTGGTTTGATTGATCAATTCATTTTCTGCAGCTTATCACAACCCTTTTCTAGTTTGTTTTTTTTTTTTAAAGTAAAGACCAGTTTTTTCCGGGTTTTTTTAGAGAGGGGAGAGATTTGTGCAAAATTTAGGCTTTAAGTTTCAGTATTTTTTTTTTTTATCCTTTTCAGTGTATCAACTTAAGAACAGAGGGTTTGTATCTATGTTTAAGACTTTTTTTAAAATTGTACTTAAATTTGCTTGTATAATTTTTATTACTTTTAAGTATTGTATTATATTGCTAGAATTGGTGCTTTTGAATAAATTATTTGGTAATGATTGTATCAGATGGAACTAAAAATCAGTGAGGCTCACTAATCTTTTTTTTTTTTTTTTTGACAATGATGTTCATTCTGTACAAGGCCCAAGAGCCATTCGAGGTAGAGGGTTACAGAGTAAGAGGCACAATTTATGGAGATATGTGGAGAAGATAACCCTAGACTTGAACAGACTAAATTATAGTGATCAGAGAAGCAGCCTGTTGGGAGTTCCACAAAGCATGCTTTGTGACCGAAGGCCATTGACAAGCAGTGAATGTAGGTCAAAAGTATATTATTAACTGTTTATATGATGTAATATCAGTTTGGATTTTTCAAATTTTATTCTTTAAAGTATAAAGATTTATTAATCACTATTTTATACAGTTTTTACTGAAGAGAGAAAATTTTCAATTTAAGATCTGATATTCATAAAATGACATTAGCTTTTGATGGCGTATTCTATACAATCTAACAAAGAGTTAAGAGAAGAAATATGAAAACTCTGACATACACAAATGGAACAGGAAAGAAATATCAGATAATATACAATATATTAATAATAAAAAGTTAAAACTTTTTAAATGATTAACTTTTCAGACTTACCATTGAACTTAAGTGCCTCAGCACATGGGAAATCTTTCTCAAAGATTTTGCAACGGCATCGTACATATGTAACTTCCTTGCAAGGGCCGCACGGTCCATTATGGCATTTTTGTTGACAAACATGATGGTTATCTGCAACAAAAACATCAAAATTTTAGCACAAGAAAATATTACCAATATCTAAATTTTTGGCTATGTTAACATGTATGCAGCAAGTAGAAATTAAAAAGAAATAATTAAAAACCTTCTTGCATTGCATGAAGATAAATAAAAACTAAACATTTGAAATCTTCAAAATTGATCCTCAATTTTACACTTCTGTGTTACATTTGAATGACTTGTATTGTCAGACATATACAACAAAGGTTCTTACACATCTCAACTATTCAAAAGGCTTGTAAAGTACATTTTATATTTGTCATCGGAACTCATTGCTGAGTATTGGGGTGCTCATTGACATTTCTTTCCGTGTGAAATGAGTCCTGTGTTGGATCTGAAGAGACGCCGACAGCCATCACATAGGTAGGATGGCAGGGTGCAGAGGATGGAGAGCTCTGGCTTTTCTTTGGTCTCTTTTCCTCTCTTCTATTTGTCTTCCAGTGTTTACGAAGGATGTTGCTTTTCCAGTACTGCTCTTCTCCAATTGGTTCTTTCTGCAGCTTCCATCTCCCAATTGACTGGATCAATTTCTCTCCTCAGGTGTTTTTGAGTTGATCCTTGAATCAACGATTTGGGGCTCCAAGTGGTATCTTGTCAGATGCAGGCTCTGAGAAGAGGATTTGTTTGGGTAGGTGAATATCTGGCATTCAGGCAAATCAAAATCAGTAGTGAGTCTGAATGGTTTCTAGGCATTCCATCTATGCATGGAGGAGAACTTCTAGAACTGCTAAGGGTTCTACAGGATTTGACATTTTATATTACCCTTAACAAAAAATAATGGCTAAGTATTGTTAAAACAATATTTTTTTTTTGACTCGTGTTAATAGAAAGTTTCTGAATTGAGGTGTTATCATTATTTAGAATATCCGCTAGATCAGTAGGCTGAATCAGATATAGCTTATCATATGGCAAGACACACTGCTAAAAAGATTCAAGGTAATTCTTTTTTTGTAAAAGGTGCTTCAGTTATTCTCATAACAGAAGACCATATGCACAAGTATCTGCTATAGAAATTGGGAAAAATTGTTTTTGGAGAAAAAATTTCTCAATAATTAAAAAATCAAGTCTCAGTAAAATATTATCACAAATGACAGTGGTTAACACAAACTGTTGCACGTGATTTGTTTCTTATTTATTCATTCATTAAAAAAAAAAAAAAAAAAAAGTAATTTTTAAAATAAAAAAATATATTTCTTCTCCAGAGAAAAAACTGATTATGAAAATAATGAAAGATTCTAAAGCAAATGATATTTACATGCATGGTCTTCCTTAGTGAAAATCCCCAATCATTTAAAATAATGAAAACATTACCTTCAATAAAAAGTTACAAAATTCAAGAAACATTGTACTTTCCATATTGTTTATGCAGGTGGTTATGTACGAGAAAATGCATGTGAACAAGTAAAGCTGTAATGAAATAAACATTATTTTCCTCATGAAATTTAGCATGCTATTCAGAAAGCCAAACGGAAGGCATGTGGCCCCCACAGGCTGCATTTTGTCCATAACTGCACCAGACTTAAGACCCTAAGGTCTAGGCTCAGGATTATAGCCTAGTGGATTAAAGCATTGGTTTGTGAATTAGGTAACACAGTAATTTTGAGTTCAATCCCTGGATCAGATAATACAAATTTAGACTGAAAATACAGTAAATAATAATGAAGCAGTACTAAATAAGAATAAAACTTCCCTAGACATGAACAGTTGAATGAGAAAAATTGACCCTTGTAGGTTAAATAAAGAGTTCATTTTGAAATTACATGTTTAGGGATATTTTTGCCTTGTTCTTATTTAGTACTGCTCAGTTATTACTCACTTTGTTTCCACCAAATCTGCACTGCCCAACCCAGAGATTGAACTCACAATTACTATGCCATGAAATTCATGAATCAACACTTTAATCCACTAGGCTATTAAAAATAAACTTAAACTCAGTTGAAACTAGGCAAGACATAAATGAACCGTACTAAATAAGAACTAGATGAGATATTCCTATATATGGTCAATGGAACAAGAACAATTTAACCCCACAGATTGAATAAAGTCTTCAGTTCAAAATTCTCTGAAAAATCTTCAGATCAGCAGACCCCTGAAGAAGGTTGGAGGACGCAATGGCCAAAATGTGGTGATAATAATAAAGATATAGACATTAGTCGGAATGTAAATAGAAAGATTAAAAACAAAGAAACCTTACCTGCAGGACCACATGGTAAAGGTTTGCTGCAGATTTTATCACAGGTAGCAACTGGATCAGTGCATAGAGTTCTAGATTGATCAGCAAGTGGTGTTTGTCCACAGGGACAGTGGGTGACATTAGATGGTAACAAGGGACAATCAGAGCAGTCTCCAATGTGACATAATTCCTGACACTCATGGTTACCACAAGAGAGCAATCTGATAATAAAGTGACAAATAAAAGAATTATATCGAATGGAAAATTCACCTCTTTAATTGTTACAAAACAAACATAAAACAGTCATAAATTTCTATAAGAGCAGAAAAATATTTACAATATAAAAGAAATAATTATTATTTTTATTTTTTTTTTTAAATTGGTATCACACCACACAAATCAGTAAAGCCACTAAGACACAAGGGGTTACAGGGTGTGGAAGAATTAGGAACAGAAACAGTAAAAATGAGCAGGAAGAGAAAAGAGTAATCAGGAGGACTGTAGATAGTGATTGAGATTGCATTTAAATTTTTGCAGTTTAAAGTTGTCTGGAAAGCAGATTGAGCTGGTGTATTTTACAACATAAAACAGCTGTTTTAATAATACTCAAGTACTGGTGATGTTTATATTTGAGGTCTGCAAGCATCCACTTGATAGGTGGTCCTTTTTATCTTTGTTTTTTTAAATAATACAAGGCTTGACAGCCACTCAAGGCGAAAAAGTAAAGTTAAAATAGTCATAATGAATGGAGTGTGTGATATGAAAGATGGTCGAAAGTGAAGATAAATAGGATAGACAGTCTTCTGCTGGGGATGTAGTCACCATATTCTAGGCTTCACCAGCAGGGAAAAATGTTTTTAATTAAATAGAAACAATATTGTGGATAGATGGAATGAAGTTCATCTCCTCCAAGTTGTTATTTTTATCCTCTTTAATATTAGGATATCTCAATAAAATGTTTGGTATTTATCTTCAAATGCTTGAAACGATAAAATTTTTAAAATATCACATTGAAAATATAAGGCATGAAAAAAAAATAAATTAATAAATTTTGTGTTATAAAAATCATTCACAGGCAAAAATTAAGAATCTTTCAAAAGATAACAATGAGTCTTGAAAAGGAAATATAAAAAGCAACTTTACTTTTTACACTCTTGTCCACAGCTGAATTCTGATGCATCTTCAGTGGAATTCTCCTGGCAAGCAAGATACTTTTCTGTGTGTCCACCATAGCATTCTAAGAAAAAAAGACATCAAGGTACAATTAAAACATTCCCCACTGTGACAATCCTTAGCAAGAATTAATTACAAAACAGTTGTTATTTTAATTAAATCAGTGAATAGAGTTCAGAGTCTCACCAAATGTACTAATGTTGTTGAAGAAGAAATAAAAGAAAAAATATAGGTATAAATCCTATCCTTACTAAACAATCAACTTGATTTTGTCACAGGATTTGATTTGATTTGATTACTGGGTTTAAAGGCATATCAATCTTCGTTAGTTCATTTCATGCCAAATAAGTTTTGATTAGGCATCATGGTATGTGTATTAAATTTAATTTGGGAATAATATTTTAGAATCATTTAGTTGAAAGTGATAGCCTTTGTAAAGGAGTTCATTTAAAGTTAATAATTTTGGTATGAAGTTCAGTTGGGGATTATTTTATTTTGTTCATTTACTTATTTGTCAATATTAGTTATTGCTTAAATTTTTAATATATCTTGGTTTCGCTAAGAAATTTAAATTATTTTATTTAATCCTGTTGAAGAGTTCATTCATATTGTTTGCCTGATTATACTTTTCACAGACCAGACTTAAATCTATACATTTTATATGTATGTTTTCCAATGTGTATCATTCATTACATGTATAGCATATAAGTGGATCTTCCTTTTTTAGTATGTAGCTGTGGCTAATAGAAGTGTCATAGGGGAAGCAGGATGCAATGAAGGAATGCAAATAAAGACAATACCTACATAACATTCTTTAACTATGCACAGACTTCAATTCCTAAAAGGAAAACTGACTTCTTCAAAAATGAATTATTGTATTTAACATATTGAGCAAAAAGCTTTCCTCAGTTTTAAATATCTAGAAATATGATAAGCATTTTAACTTTATTAAAAGTAAAGCAGCAGACACTTATTTTATAAAATCTTATCTTTTGTAATGCCTTTTATTAATGGTTTAATGAATGTCAGTTAATAAGTGAATTAACGACAAAGTATTATGCAGAGGTGAGCAGAGGATTTAAGATGGGGAGTGGGTAGAGAAAAAATATGAAAAGAAAAAAAAAATAATTGAGCAGATATGTTTTTGGAATAAATATATTTTTAAAGGCTAAAGATAGAAATATTGTATATGATGTACAGTTATTTAAAAAACTATATTGAATTAAAATTAACATATATAAAAAAAATGAAAATGAAATAGGAAGCAAAAGAAAAAAAAATCCATTTACTTTTATATTTGACTAACTATTCATTTCAACAGGAATAATTCATACTTAACAAGTTTAATTTATTATTTTTATATATAAGCTAAAAACAAGAGAAAAAATAAATATTATGAACGTACTTTGTTTTAGGATCACTTCACATTCTGGACAGCTGCCTGCATGACATACTTTTTGGCAAGAATGCTTTTTACACTCCAATAGTTTACCACACGGCTCTGTGCATTGGAAACACACACTCTGGCCACATTTTGTCACTTGACTAAAAGGAATTAAAAACTGAATTAATGACCATCATCACCCAAAAGTAATTTGCAAGAACATTTCATATTAATAGTTTCATAATGGAAATCATCACCTTTTTTTCCCACAGACACACTTCCGGAGAGCATTTGATGAGCACGGAGGGCAAGGACCAGGATGGCATAATCTGAGAAAGAAATACAAATGCCAAGAGGAAATAAATTTAGTCAACAGCAGAGAGCAAAGACATTTGCAGCATTGATATAGATTAGTTAAATATAGCAGTTTCAAGCAAAATATTAAAAATAAAACACAACAATAAGAAAGAAATAAATGCAAGAAATTCTGACACAGCAAAAATGTCTATTTTAATGAAGAGCCAAATGTTATTGCAGTTTTGCATTGATGCTGCTGGGGGGGGGGGGATTATCCCTTTTATCAGGTTCTCAATTTTAAAAAAATACTAACAGTCAAAATCAAGAAGATAATGTCTTTTATCCTCACTATACAGAATATAATTGTACTGACATTTAAAGAAAATGATTTAAACTTTTTAGTTATGCAAGTGATAGTAAAACCAGCCATAATCTAAATATCTTAAATAAAGTTTTTTTTAAATGTTTTTGCCCAATTTTTCAAAAATTATTTACCTAACAAGTCCTACTTTCGATTTTATACAGTTTTCTCCTGAATATTTATTCATGTTGTTAATTTTCATATATTAGGTTGTTACATATATTTGTTTATATTTTCTTATGTTCTGCAAATGATCTCAAAGAATTATCTCTCATAGCATTTTTTGGTTCTTAGTAAGCCTGGTCATCCTGTGAAACTGTTGTCTAACATTATTGAAATTTTATTTCTGATTAGACACTTCCTTGAGATGGAATGCCAAGTAGACAAGAATGAGCATGTTCAGCATCTCTTCATGTTTAATCAAGGTTACAAAGCTGCTCAAGACATTTGTGCTGCTGTGTACAGAGATGACTTCATTTCCAACAGAATGGCACAGAAATGGCTTTTCTTTTTCAAGGAAGTTTGAACTCATACTCTCTGTGTTCTGATCTGTTCAGTTTGAGAACCAAATGTATGCACTGATTAAAGAAAACCATGCAAGACCATTAGGGAATTGGCTCAGAAGATAGCAAATTCTCATGTTACAGTTGCTCATCATCTTCACTCAATGGGTAAGGTCCAGAAACAAAGGCATATGGGTGTCACACACCAAGAGAAACAAACTCCAGCACTCCTCCTTTGCTGCCAGCTTACTTGCTTGACCCCAAGCTACTCATGGATACAAAGAAAGAGCTTGGTTGGGAAGTACTGTCACATCCACTATATTCTTCTTCAGACTACCACCTTTTTGGTCACTTTCTAACAATTTGAGGGGTGTTTCATTCAACAATGATGTGGATCTTAAAATGTGACAACTTTTTTTGAGTTAAAACCTAGTGATTTCTATCACAGAGGTTTTGAACCGTGGATCGTTTGTAGATGGTTGTAAACAATAAAGGGGAATACATTGTTGAATGATCCATCAGAATTACTATATTGCCAGATTTATCGATTTTTAAAATTTTTTTACTAGAAGTAGGAGCATTCAATTATTTATGTCTAGTTACACAAAATCCATCTCTTCTTATTTTCCTTTCCTTATTGCCTATGAATTTTTGCTCATCAAATAATGTTAAAATACTGAAATATTCATTTTAATTATTAAAAAAAAAAAAAAAAAAAGGTTTGTGAACAGAAATAACAAAATTAAAAATGCAGCAAAAAAATAACAAAATTAAAAAAATAAAATTAAAATGCAGCACATATAAAACTTTTCAATCCGGATGGTAATTTACTGAGCTTAGGATACAATAATGGGACACCCATGGAGCTTCAGACTGCTTCAATCAGTTTGCTTAATCCAATGAACTATAGTGAAGTGATTAATGGCTCAAGTTTGTATTTCTCAGGACGATAATGGTTTAATCCAAATTTTGTATGCTCTAATTATTGCCCAAGTTTCCCAGTGGCTGGTGTAATTAACGAATAATCAATTACAGCAAGATTTTTATTATAAAACCATGACTATACATGTCTTTACAACAATAACATTAATGAAATGAAACTACTCCCTTTTAATTGTCTTAGAGAACCCTTTTTGCCCTCCATCAATATGGCTGATGCTAACCTCCAGGAGATTGACTTGTTGCAACTTCTCAGACTAACATTTTCCACTGACATGAAATGGAAAGATTATATTGAATCAATTGCTAAGTCTGCTGCTAGGAAAATTGGTTCACTGTGTCATACTAGACAATTTTTCTTGACAGATTATATTTTACACATTTATAAGTTGTCTATTTGTGCATGCATTGAATATTGCTCTCACATATAGTGTGGTGCTTTTGCTATATATTTAGAGATCCTTGATAAAAACCAAAGAAGAATCTGCATGGATATCTGTTCTGACCTGGTCACTTTCCCCACCCCCACTATATTGTTTCCCTGTACCTTTTCAATAAATATTTTCATGGTAAGTGTTCTCTATGATATCTAGGCTTTACAAAGTGCAGTACTAGATTGGCATCTAGGTCTCATCATTTTACAGTTAAAAATAATAGATGTAACTGTAAATTCTATGCTGACAGTTTCTTCTCTTGCATTTCTCACTTGTAGAACTCTCTTTTACCTTCTTGTTTTCCAATCAACTTTAATCTTCAAAAATTTAAATGATATGTCAATCATTTTCTTCTGTTCTTTTATTGTTCTCACTCCTTAATATTTTTCTTTTTCTCATATTCTTTCACACTCAGTAATCTGTTGCATCTCAGTGGCTTTGTTACCTTGCTTGGGGTGAAATGATTAAAAAACAACTATTATCTCATGGATGGCATTCCTATTGTTAATAAGCTACATTGCAATGTACGTACAGGTTTTAAAATACTTCACAATGTATTCAGTATACAAATCAAATTATCAGTGGAGAAGCAAAACAGTTACTTACATGGTACATAAATGAGGGCAGTTTTCATTTCGTCTCTTACGACAAGGCTCTCCACAGCAATGAGGTGTATCGTAGTGGTTCCGTTGAGGGTGGTTCCACTGAGGGCAAACATTTCAAAGTTTTACCTAAAAAGTAAAAAAAATTATTACATTTATAAATATAGTATTATATTATAGAACAAAAATGTTGTCATACATGATATCATTATAAGTACAAATAAAAAGTATACATGATATCAAATACAAAAGGTGTCATACATGATATCATTATAAAAGTACAAAACAACATGTTGTCATACATGATATCATTATAGTCTAAATATGTTGTCACTATGATATCAATTACAAATAACATGTTGTCAATGATATCATTATAAGTAATAAATAACAAATAATTATAATATTGTCATACATGATATCATTTTTAAGTACAAATAATATATTGTCAAAATACATACATGATATCATTTTTACATGATAAATAACAAATATTGTCATACATGATATCATTTAACATGTTGTCATACAATAACAAATAACATGTTTTATATCATTATAAGTACAAATAACATGTTGTCATACATGATATCATTAAATACAAATAACATGTTGTCATACATGATATCATTTTAAGATATCATTAAATAACAAATAACATGTTGTCATACATGATATCATTATGATATCATGTTTTTATCATTATAAGTACAAATAACATGTTGTCATACATGATATCATTTTAAGTACAAATAACATGTTGTCATACATGATATCATTTTAAGTACAAATAACATGTTGTCATACATGATATCATTATAAGTACAAATAACATGTTTGTCATTATAAGTACAAATAACATGTTTCATACATGATATCATTTAAGTACAAATATGTTGTCATACATGATATCATTTTTACAAATAAATGTTGTCATACATGATATCATTTGTACAAATAACATGTTGTCATACATGATATCATTTCAAATAACAAATAACATGTTGTCATACATGATATCATTTTAAGTACAAATAACATGTTGTCATACATGATATCATTATAAGTACAAATAACATGTTGTCATACATGATATCATTATTTAACATGTTGTCATACATGATATAAAACATTTGTCATACATGATATCATTTTAAGTACAAATAACATGTTGTCATACATGATATCATTTTAAGTACAAATTCTAGCAGTGATTTCATGTCAGTTTCCAAATGAGTCTCAATTTTTCCAAGTATACTGAATATTGATTAGTAGAAATTTTAACTGAAACAAATTATTATTTACGTGCAGACCATTGTCTTCATCTGTGTTGCTATCACAACATTTCAGCCATTGAGCCCTCCAGCCTTCATCAGATGTATGTCACTTCAGGTAACCTAAAGGGAATTCCTAATTAAATAAAAGGTTCCGTTCAGAATTCCCTGTAGGTTACCCAGATCGGCATACACCTAATGAAGGTTGGAAGGTATAACGGCTGAAACATTGTTATAGCAGCAACAAAAATGAGGACAATAATCCACATGAAAATAGTGTAAATAATGATAACTCCTCATCCCAGAAATTCAGACAGAAAAAAATGAAACAAATAATCATGAGCTTTTTCTTAAAAAAATTAAAGCAATAAAATAACATTCATATAAAATAGATAATCCAAATGCTAGACATGAGAGTAGCTGTATATTTGTATAAAATCTATAAAGTTTTGTCATTAATATATTTCTATTGGAAATGACATGTCTGTTTACATTTTTCACTAGTAAAGTTCATCAGCAGAAAAATGATTAACTCTCATTTTGTAATACTTGTAAGAGAATTTTTTAAAATTTTATATTTATAAATATTTCTTTTTAATACTTCAGTTTGGTAAAGAATTGATAGAATATTTCCAAAATCCTTTTGTATATTAATCTTGTTTTAGAACATCAAAAATTGGAAGTGAGAAGCACAAAATTCCTTTTCCCTCAGCAATAAAATTTCATAAAAAGACAGCTGAAGAAGGTGAGAGAGCACAATGATTGAAACATGATAAAAACAAAGAAGAGGACAATAGTCAAAATGTGAATAACTTCACATCCCAAAAATTCAGAGTTAAATATTTCTGTCTGAATTTCTGGGACGATGAGTCACTATTTACATGCAGACTATTGTCCACATCTTTGTAGTTGTTATCCAAACGTTTCGGCCCTTGTTGTCACCTGCTTTCATCATGTATATGTTAATCTGATTAACCTACAGGGAATTCCTAACTGCACCCTTTATTTAATCTATGAGGGTAGATCTTCTTGTTCCACTGCCCATGTCTAACGATATCTCATCTAGTTCTATTTTTTTTTCTTTTTTTTTTATTGCTCAGTTATTGATTGCCCTGTTTCCGCTGAGTCTAAGTACACACTGCCTGGCCCAGGGATTGAACTCGCAATTACTATGTCACCAAATTCACAAACCAACACTTTAATCTACTAGGACATTTTTATTATCCAAAATTGGATGCATAATGTTGACTAAATATTTAAAATTAATTAATTAATCTTAAAACATTAACTATATCAAATTCTACATTCCTCTTATTTTTTTTTCTAATTATCACTATTTTTTTCATAACTTACCACAAAAGCATCTATATTGATGAGGTATATTCTTTCTGACCATTTGACACACAGGACATCGCCAGCCTTTCTTATTATCTGAGGAAAAAAAAAAGTAATAGATTTAAATGTTAGCATAGTGAGTGGTAGAATCAGTAGTAAAAAGTACTAGATAATATTCAGTAATAAATTACAATTTACTTAAAAAGATATTCAATGTAATCATGTTAGAAATATTAAAATAAAATCCTGTAAATTTAAAGTTAATGCAATAGCAATCAGATCTTGCAATACTATGTTCAAATATTAGGAATCAGTAAGAATGAAAGTGCATGACAATTGCATATAATTTATAGAAATAACAGTTTTACCATCACTAAATTTTTTTACCTACAAAAAATTCTGTTTAATGAAAATTTTTTCATCTATTTACCTGTGAAGCAAGTGGCAGCAGGAGAGAGAGCCCACTTTTTGATACACCTCAAATGGAAGATATTGTAGCAATTGGAACAACTCCAGATTCCATTGTCAGGATACACAAGGCAGCAGCACACCATGCATTCATACTTTCGACATCTTAATTGCTCACTCAATGAATCTGCAAAGGAAAAGAACCACTTCATAAGGGATAATATTCTTTAGTAACAATATCAATACAATATGGAAGTCTTTACAGTTAGCGGCCACAACAACTATTTCGTGTAATTTATTTGCTTTCACCCCAAAACAAATACAATATGGTCACCTGTTTTTAGTGCAGTCACTGTAAAATGATAACTGTTAAATATAGGGTACAACAGGTATTTGAAAACACACCTTTGGCAGGCCATAAATGGAAGACAACCTAACAATGTTATACATGTGCCAGATTCAACATTCTCATCTCTATTTCAGATGTATTGAGAGCATTCAATATGACAGCTTGCACTCTGATGTAAGGAATTAAAAAAAGCATGTCACACCCATGGTACTAGCCACCCAACCACAGCAACTCAGAGATGGCTACTTTCAAGAAGCTGTATAGTGCCTTTATGCTCAAAACCAGGGACAAACCAGAAAAAATCTGGAGCAAGACTTGTCATCTGTGGACAAATATTATAAATGTTCAGATGTCATACGGATGACCATGATTGTCCAACAGGTTGGTTGAGAATATCATCAACTACAACAAGTTCATTAGCAAGTAGCTCAATGTTGATTGGTTTGTCTGTTTCTACTTTACAGCATATCAACCGCTACAGGTCATTTCAGGGAGAGAAAAAATATTGTTTCTGTCGAGTTGATTTGTGCTGGATTACATAGATTTTGGAGAGCTTGTCATTTCGAAAAACTGACAGTTTTTGAAGAGTTAAATGCTTATGAATAAATTCAAAAGATTTTTCCCTATATAGAGTTTGAAAAGATCTATATTATTCAGAAAATTTAGTATTTTCGAGATTTCTTTTTAGTTACACTGCTTCACGGAATATTGCAGTTTAATAAGTATTGAAGAACTACCAATTAACCAATTATCATACTAATTTTATTGTCATTGCTGTATCTATTAAAGCATGATTATATATATATATATATATATATATATATATATATATATATATATATATTACAATAAACGTGCAATCAATTTACAAATACATGAATTATTCACAAAACTAATACAAAGGTTAATGATTTAAATGGCGAGACATCCATCGCCATAAACAATTCAAATAGTACACAAAAACCTCCAGATACGGCAGAAATTTATATAAACAAGGATCAATTCATTCATAACGGATCTGGAGGTTTTTGTACTATTTTGTATGATGGATGTCTCGCCATTTAAATCATTAACCTTTGCATTAGTTTTGAATGTGAATATATATATATATATATATATATATATATATATATATATATATGCTAAATAGAATACCTAGCTTAAAGATAGTTTCCCAGGATAAAGCCAAGAGACACATTTTCTATAATGGGACTTTCAATTACTAAGGTTGGTAGATATCAATTTCACCTAAAAAAAAAAAAAAAAAAAAAAAAAAAGGGGGGGGGGTTCTGGATGAAGTTCTCATTGGTAAAGAATAGTGCATGCCAGATTCTTTAAAGTATCTGTACCTGTTCAAAAGTACTTCTACCATCTCGTCATATAGAACTTGTACCTAGTCTTCTTGGCAATCATGTTTAATAGTGCTGCTAATGTTTCCTTTAATAGGCAATGACAAAATGATAAAATCAGTATGGTAACAACAGACAATAGGTCAATTGGTAGTTCTTCAATACTTGTTAAACAGCAATATCCCATGAAGCAGTGAAACTAAAAAGAAATCTAAATACTAAATTTTCTGAATAATATAGATCTTTTCAAACTCTATATATGAAAAAAAGTTTTGAACTTATAAGCATTTAACCCCACAAAAACCACCAATTGCTCAAAATGACCAGAGCTCTCCAAAATCTATGTAATCCAGCACAAATCAACCCAACAGAAACAATTTTTTTCTCTCCATTAAATGAACTGTAGGAGTTGATATGCTGTAAAAATGGTTGCCAACCACAACAGGTACAAGTTCTATATGAAGAGAGGGTAGAAGTGTGTGATGCAATAAAAGTACTTGCTGAACAGGTACAAATACTTTAAATAATCTGGCATGCTCTGTTCAATGAGAATTTCAACCAAGACCATGTTAATTGGAGGAATGACAACTTTGTGCAAACATTAGAGTGATGCATACCAAATTTGTTTATGATAGTTTATAGTTTCTTAAGCAAAGAAGGCAATACCATGCCATCCCACTTCTTCCCACTGTGCTTCAGGCTTAATGCCATTGTCTATATCAAGGTGTTGGACACAGTGGTTCATCTCTGAATTGATTGGGTGACCCTGAGAGATTATACATATCCAAGTGAGACTCTACTTCCTCTGGTCCCATATTAGCTTATAACGACTGGCTTAGGATTTTCACAATCTTGCTGCTCCTAATATACAGCCTTCCTAGATTAATATATCCGACGTGACTTTCAGAAAGAGAGAGAGAGAGACACAATCCAATGGCTCTTGAATAAGCAGGTATTTTTAAGTGGAATTGACAAAATTCTCAATAACAACAATAATAAAATTAACAAGACAAAATAATACAAGGCAAGGCAAAGTAAAGCCATTATAAGACAGTAAAAAAGAAACAGTTTTCACAGACATATGGGATACAGTCAAGTGTTTATAACCTTCTGACTTCAAGGCAAGAAAGAAAAAAATGTATGGCTAAGACTGAGAATTATTTATACTATTTACATTTATAAATGAGAACAACAGTCGAAACAATGTAAATAGTTACAAAACCTCATCTCAGAAATATAGACAGAAGTTGAATTTCCCATTTCGATTGGTTAGGAAGAAGTCCCAGAATTTGTCTATAAATTTGGAGAGGGAGAATTTTTAGCAGTCATTCCTATTTGGAACCAACAATTTCTTATGCTATATCAAGGTTATGGTCAATTTTAGTGAATAAACTTATTCAGTTTTTCAAAGGATTTTTTTTCTATTGAATGTTGCTGTTTTTAGTTCATATTATAACTTGTTCTCAATTACCTGCCACAATCAAAATAATTTCAATTGGCTAAAAAGGAAATTTTATATACAATGTTTTATGTTTATTAAATTATTATAATGACCAGTTATTATACTAGCTCAAATGTGACAATATTCTTTTTTGTGTGAAAAATAATATTAAAATCTTGAGTAAATATTTCTATTAATTCATATAATCTTATTCATATTTTTTCAAAATGGTTCCAAATTCAAAGAATGACATTATTATTCTTTTTTTTTAATGGGTGATAAAATAATGACAAGATTATTCTGACTTACAGACAAAAATGAAGGAAAGTCATTTTTGCAGCATGAATATTGAAATGTTGCAGCAAAGTTGTTTTGCCATTTCATTTGTTTATCATTATTCATCAAATAATAATAAATCAAAAACTAACAAAATAAAAACAATTTACCTCTTTGGTTTTCATCATCAGGATTTGAGGCAGGTGCAACTGCTTCAGCTACGGAAGCATTTTTGTTCTCATTTATTTCTCTGGTTGGTTTCTTTTGATTCTTCGAGGTGAAATCTCTCTCCTGAGAAACATATTTATATTTATTCCTCTGCTGAGACCTACCCCACCATTCCTCAGAGGGTTTAGGATAATCTCGAGCAGAATCTTTACCCCTCGACCTATATTCTGTTTCACTGTTTCTGTACTGGGAAGATTGATTGTGCGATGAAAATTGATCAGGATTCGATCTGTAGTTCAGCTGAGAATGGTTACTAACTGCAGGTGGCGGACCAGGAGAGGCAGGCGGAGGAGGCCCGCTGCCAAAGTTATTTGTTTTCTTTTGATAATCATTTCTAGGAACCTGCTTCAAGTTCTGGTTTGATAAATCTTTTGCAGAAACCCCTGACGGATGATCCATTTCTTTTGGCATATCAACCTTCACATTGTCCCGCTGAGAATTGGAAGCTTCACTGGATGATACAGTATTACTACTCTGCTGGTTATTCCTCCAAACTCGGTTATAATGTCGAGTCTTCTGTATCGGTTCTTTCCAATTTCTGGTCTTGGGGTTATTGGCAATACCCGGAGAATATTTGCGCTGTTCCTGATCCCAATAATTTTGATGGTGGTTCGATGAATGTGAATGATCGTGATCATTCCACCTTTGTTGATAGAAACTGTTTTTGGATTCATGGTGGAATTTGGGACCATTTTCTTTACTGGACAAAGGAGGTGCAACATTTAGAGGCTGAGAATTCCTACTGCCTGCAAAATACTTGCTAATTCCTTTATTCCTTTCTGGGGGCCTCTTCTGGAAAGACTTATGATGAGAAGGTTCATTTGTTCTATTGTAAAACTTGTTGTCATCCATTGTGGATTTGGGTTCACTGTTGGGTATTTCTTGGTGTTGATAAGCAAAATCATAGACAACTTGAGGTGGAGGTGGAGCAGTTGCTGCAAGTGCAGCAGGTATATAATGACTTCCCATCACTGATGGTGTGTACGCTGCATAAGCACCAGCTGAGCTGGTTGGCAACATGCCAAAGCCTGAAATGTAACTCAACGGATTGACATCATGCACAACAAAACCAGTTTGGTTGAAAGGGGCAAAACTAGGAGTAACTGATGCTGAAGGTTCTGGCAAGCAAGGAGTATAATACAGACCACTGCCTGGCTGACTTGACTCAGCCATTTTGAATGACCTGCCTAAAGAGAAAAGAAAAACAATAATCAATAAGATGAAGAACAAAATATGCAAAAAAAAGTAAATAAATAAATAAATAAAAATATTGATTTTTATAGTGTGTTACAGCAATTAAAATAATCCAATCAAATTTATTATAGTTCAACAGTAACTGATGAATTATTTCTGAGGAAGTCAGATCAGGTCAAAGGTGCATGATTTCAATTTTTGATCTGGCTAATAACATGAAAATAATCAAAAAACAGAATTTTGTGGCTACTATATTCAAATTTTATGACTGTCTTTCTAGATTTTCATTTTACATATTTAACATAAAAGATGGATATGTAAACATTTTTTTTAATTTCTTTTCAGGATGTAGGCAGTCATGGCTCTCCACAGATTCCTTTATTATCTGCAAGTTGTCATAACTTCTTGGGAAAGACAATGGAGTGGTATCCCATTGCCTTCTCCATGCTTTGGACTATCAAGTTTTCTTTCTCTAAGACCTACTGCCACCCAAGACTAGAGAGCCTAGTCTACCCTGCTATTTAATACATAGTTGGGGAGATAGATTCAATTCTTTCCCAAAGACATTAATGCAATAGAGTAGGCCAGAATAAACAATATCACTTTCAATACTGATATTCATTTATCCACACATGTATACAGAAAGAACACAAATTATAATGAAATAATTATTAATAAAACAGTATTTATTTATGCATAAAAACTGACAAAAAGAAATATTATTGAGTTAAATTATTTGTAAAACAATTATGACTATAAAAATTATTTCTTAAATATTACATTGTCAACCAAAATATATCAATTTAAGAATGCATTATTCTTTTTTGAAGATAAAAATTTCTTTACTGAAGTTGGTTCCATTACAATTCAGACTGTCTGAGCAGTCTATGGTAAACATTTTGTGTGCCATTTGAAGAAGCTTTCTATACAATTAGTAACAACAGAATAACAAGTTAAGAAGGAAAGAATAATTAAGATTTTCAATACAAAAAGAAAACAAGTCTCTTCAGTTCTTGTCTCAATTTGGTTAGATTAGGTACTTTTTTGTTTTCATTGCATGTGGTTGGTTCAGAAACAACAAATACAAGAAAATTAGTCTAAACCAATAACAATAGAGATCTCTCTCTCTCATCAAGTTATGATCTTAAAAAAATTACTAATATTTATTATAACATTATTATAATTTATTTACTGGAATTAGTACCAATTCTGTTATGTATAAATTCTAGAAAAGATATACTTATAGTATTAATGATCCTAAATTCATAAACAATTGGACTGTTTTACTAAAATCTTTCTAAATACAGAATGTGAATGAAACAAATAGAATGCGTAAAGCAGCAAATTTAACTAAAGTGACAATCACTTCAACTGAGTCATGTTATAAAGTTAAAGTAAAATACAATTTATTTATTAAAATAATGAAAATAAACATAGGCTTGTAACAAATTTTATCTTAAAAACGTGACTTATCAAAGATTTGAATAGAAGAAAAATTTTAAAGAAACGAGATAAACATTTTTGAAGCTGATAATTTTATAAAAAGGAAAATGTTTATCTAAAGAATTTGACTGACTTAAAATGCAATGTGGAAAAATAAAAAAAAATCAGAAGCAACTAAAAAAACAAAAAACAGGATACACAATTAAAAACACTAAACAAAATTGCTAATTTAAAAAATGAGATAGGAAGTTGTGGAGAGCCATGATCAATTATGCACGGAATGGAAGCAGCACATAGATAAAACATAAATCCTAATTTTTAAAAATTTTAAATAATCCATTCATACATTAGTGTGTATTTTAAATTCATGAGTTGCGTACTGAAAAGTTCTTGACACAGTCAAAAAGCCCTCTTAAAAAATAAAAATTCTAATGTTTAGTCATTTTTTTTTTAATTATTTCACTCCAAGCAAGATAATAAAGCCACTAAGATGCAAGAAAATTCTGAGTGTAAGAGAATATTAAGAGAGAACAATAAAAGAACATGAATTAATACAAAAGATAACAATTGACATTGATCTTCAAAAATTTAAATGCAAAGTTAACAGGGAAGCAAGAAGTCGGAAGGGAATTCCACAAGTAAGAAGAGCAAGAGAAGAAACTTAGCATAGAACTTAGTTACATTCCAGACATTTCAAGTGTAAAATGATGAGAGCTTGCCACCAATCTAGTACTGCGCTTAAATTCATAAAGTCTAGATACCAAAGAGGAAAGCTCATCAAACAATTATCATGAAAATATTTACAGAAAAGTCACAAGGAAGCTACATTATGGTGGTGGGAAAGTGACTAAAGCTTAGATGCTAGGTCAGGATCAATAATATCACAGATTCTTCTTTGTATTTTTATCAAGAATCTCTAAATGCATAGCAGAAGCACCAAACCAAATGTGACAATATTCAATGAATGGACGAATGGTAGACTTTTAATTTTTGAAAGTAGGTTGGACCAAAAACTTTTCAGCGCCTCCTCATATATGTTAGGCACAGTAATTTATTGACTGATCTGAACTTCAAAACAAGGAATTTTCTTAAAATTACAGATCATGCCAACCAAACCATGCAAAGTGAAAAACTAATGTTTACTTTTTTCTACTTATATGATTTAAGTTATATAAATGATAAGATAATGTTATTGGCATATTTGTATGTCCTAAATGTTAAACCTGCATTCAACTCATAATTTGTAATTTTGAAAATATAAGCCCAAAAAGTCAAGATAAAATACTCTTTCATTATTGAAATATTTCAACATTTAAACATCTCAAAGTACTTCCTCATAAATTAAATGAGGCTGAAAAATGTGTTTTGAAAAGGCATAAATTTCAATGTATTGGAATTTATGCTTATAAAAATCTAAAAGCATAATCACACCTATTACACAAAAATCATTCCAGAAAATTCCTAATTTTGATATTAAAAAATAGAAACAGAAATTTAAATCAGCTTTGAGATTTCATTTTCTTACACAGTTTCTTCCTTTTCATTGCTTTTTTTTATCAACCGATTCAATATTTTTCAGCCACTAAAATATGAAGGCAATAATCAAAATAATAATTTAAAAAAAAAAAAAAAAAATGTGTATTTTAATGAAAATATTTCGTTTCGGAATAGCAAACAAAGCAATTTCTGAGTACTAATTACGATTTAGTATTCATTCAACACTGTAAAAAGACTGCGAATATCAAACAACTTCAGAGTATTGCTACTACTAGGTTATCACAAGTTTAAGACAGAATAATGATGCGACGATGAAAGTAAGATGAGAACCCTAATTTATACGAGACCTTTGGTGGCCTAATTGGCTAATACATCGTCCATGAAAGACAAACTTCCTATGTATGAAATTTTATGTTACCACCGAAACTACTACTTTATTTTGATTTTTTTTTAAGTTTAACTTAAACTGGGAAAAACGGAATTTATCAAAATGAATCTAATCGGTACATTCTTCAACTGTTAATTTAAAGTTAAGAACATATGTGAAAAAAGTAAAAACAGTTTATTTTAGTTTTACTTTTATTCTTTATAGTGGGAATCGGGTTTTCGTAATTTTTCTTCCTAGTCAAATGTTTTGTTACCCTTCCAGTTCAAAATTAGAGGTGGATTATATTAAAGTTCATATATTTAAAATGGTCTATTTCTGATAAAAAAAAAAAAAAAAAAGTAGAAATTATCAAAACAGGCACATACTCCCCAAAAACATTAACCAATTGTTGTTTAGCAATATATTTTGATCCACACTCGAATCTTGATTCCATCGTATGAGGAGTTTTTTTTTTGTCTCTTATAGAAACGAAACACTTAAAAGAATATGTTTTGATTAGATGAAAATAAAAAGAAAGTAGACTTTGTAACCTGATGTCTTGTTGTGCAATAACACTCTTCTTGGAAACTGCTTTATTTGCCCGTGATGCAACATATTTTATTGTATGGGTAGTGGGGGTGGGGCAAATAAGATTGAATTTTTTGAAGCATGCAACGAGTGAAATAAGATATGCCCACTCAACATATTTTCAAACTAGGTAAGAAATTATAAACAACAATACAATCATTGAATATTTTCTGACTAAAGAAAAATACATTCAAATTCAACACTTTCAAAATAAATCAGATTTCATTCAAAGAAAACCTGGGTTTTTATGTAATAATTAATTATTATAAGAATATTTTTAAATACATTTTTATCCAGAGGAAATACAAGATGCATTTTAGCATGATTAGAAGAGATTGTATATTTGTTCAACTTGATGATCCGAAAAACACAGAGTCAGCTAAATAAAATATTTCTATTATTTGAAATGAAAAGACAATACAAACAAACATGCAAAATTCAGAGAAAGAGCGAGAGATTCGTAGTGGTAGGACAGATACTAAAAGTCTTTTGATACTATTAAAACATTAACAATTTACCTTCAACGATCAGTGGCTTAATTTCAAGAGCAATTTAAATAAAGAAAACAGTACTGCTAAAAATAATATATAAATATATATATAATATATTTATATATATATATATATATACAAACGTCACTTTCAAATGATGATGACGGCACGAAACAAATTACAACTGCCGTGAAATACGGGACAACAAGGGAAGTAATTCAACGAGCTTCCTGTTTGAATGTACACTTCCTGTTTAATCATAATATTCTTGTTTTTGTTTACTTAATGTCGTTAATTTTAATTTTTCCTGAAATTATTGAATCCTTTCTTATTTATTTAAAAGTTTGCTAAATACATGTAGACAGCTGTAACTTGTCATGTAAAAATTAAAACAAAAAATGTCTTCCCAGACATCGTTCTTATATTTCAGAATCAAGTATGAAGTTCCTTAACTAATTATTTTATAAAAATATATAATAGAAATTGGAATATTATATTAAAAAACAGATAGTATTTTAATTTTTTAGTTGTAATTTCTATAAGAGACGATGATTTCAAACAATATAAATAAAATATGTGCCAACTGATGGATTAATTTACAAAAAATTTTGAGTTTTCAGGTAATTATTGCAAAATTTAAATCTTACTAACTTGAAGCAATCTATATATTGTTCTCTCTGAGATATAAATTGACTATCCTTATTAAAGTTGGTGGGGAGTAAATATTTACTTGTTCAAGTTCAGTTATATTTATAGATATTAAGTGAATATGAATAAAGTTGATATATGCTTCATGATGTCTTTATGCCCTATAGTTTCTAAATATGATTTTCTCTTATATGGACTTAAAAATTAATGCCTTACTGAAATTGTTTTATTTTCCTAAACATAACTGAATATGAAATACATTCAAACTTAGTTAAGGAACCATGAAATAAATATATTTCTCTCTCATCCCAAACCTACTCCACCAAATGTAAAAGAAAATCATAACATGTCAAAAACTGTCAATCTCAACATATTTGTGGATATAATTACATTTGAGCTATCATTAAAACTAGATCCATATATATAAAATGTAATGTAAATTATATGAGATTTTCATAAATAATGGAATAAAGTATCTTTTTTGTTTTCATTTTAGGTATATATTCAATTATATCGTCTTAGGATTTTTAATTTTATATCACAATTAATAATATAATTATAAAAAATATTTTTTATTGATTTCAAACTATATTACTGCTGTGGAATTTCTATGTTCAGAAAATGTGATTCAAAGCTTATATTGAAAGAATTTTGATGACATCATGATTTTCTCAGCCTAGCAACAAGCAGTTGCCTTGACTCCTCAACATTTTCGGTGGCATACCTATGTGACTCATTCAGGAGGATTAAGGGTTTTAATAACTCTCCACCAATCAACATCTAGCCCTTCTGAAAATACTTAGGTTAATAATAAAATCACCACCAGCCAATCACTCTCTTTAAATTTGTTGTCATCAAGACCCTGTGAAGCCTGTTTAAGGAGTTAAAAAACTCACAAGATGGAATCAAATATTACTACCTTCATGGCTCTCCCAGCCTAAATTCTACAGGAAGTGTGAACAACTCTGGATTCAAACCCAACTTATTATTGTTGTATACTCTCCCTGGTGGGGCCAGTCTTGGGGCAATGGCTTCAATTCATTCATATATTGTGTCTTCTCTCAGCCAATGATCAATAGTCGTTTTGTTCAGATGAAAGAACTTCAACAAAGGGAATTTTAAACTTAACCATTTTATTTATGTTGATGTATACATCTCTCACTAGCCAGGGGGTCGCTCTCCCCCTCCACTGGAGAGCAGTTTCCAGCAATGAAAGGAACACATCTATATTGTTTGACGTGTAAGAACCAACTCTCCTAAATCCCTTTCTATATCTCTATCATTCCCATGCTCATTCAGCCAATCAAAATCAACTTCCTTTATTTTGTCTTGTATCTGACACTTAAGGTCAAACTGAGGAAATCAGGTCAGAGATACTCTTCTCTAAAAATAATAGTCTGCTAAACTGTTATTTAACATTACCAGTGATTTCAGAGAGAACAAATTCACGGCTGCATCCAACTGCTAAACCTCAAGGCTCAATAAACCCTTCATCCAAATACAACAAGGATACAGGAAGGCCCCTTTCAAAGTGAAGTATTGTTTCTCTTAATATCCTTATTTTCAATCTGTGGAACTTTTCAGGTATTTACCCTTTTTCTATAAGTTAACAATATCGAATACTAATACAACACACTATCATTGTGTGTGCCCAGGATAACTCATATCAGGTTTTTTCTCCTAATAAACTTTTTATAATTCTCTATCCATGTTTTCTGTGACATGTTTGCCACTCTTGTTATTCCTTTTCTTTTTTTTTTCCAATATAGTCATCAAAATAATATACAGCCAATCTTTAATCAGGTTCTGTTCTAATGGCCTGATAACTTAGTAAGCTGATCACTAAGTGAGAAGTTGTACCTGACCACTATTTCAGGCATTATACATGTGTAATGGGTTTATGTTAGTGTATATAAAGGTGTACGTGTGTTTACATGTAAACAAAGATGAAGCATACAAAAATTTGGGATTATACTATGGACAATTCATTCTTTTTTAATATATAAACTGTAGAGAAACAAAGTTCTCAATGTCTCTTAGGTGTGTCCGGTTTTTTTTTCTAGTCCAGAAGTTACGTTAAGTAAGGATAAGCATTGTTATAATGGTCCACTTCAAGTCAGCCATGTGCTGAGTTAGAATGGCCAAAGAAAAGGTTGATTTACTTCATAGGTCGAGGTTTTGAAAGACGTGTGCAAAACCTAGGCATTGGAAAGTGGAGAGAGTGTTCAGTTGTCAGTGAACTGTAGAAACAAATATGCCACAGTGGGGATGTCTTTTGCTACATCTTGGAGCAAGAGGCAGAAAGAGAAAGAGGAAGGAAATGTTTGTCTTTTTATAGACTTAAACAGAACCACCTAATGGGTGTCAGATGAACCCAAATGGGGTAATAAAATTTCCAGTTTCTTTATTACTAGTCATGGGAAAATGTATTTCATTTTCTTTTTTATTATTCATTATTATTATTTTATTTAATGATTTTATTTAATTTTCCCAAAGTCATTATCTATCTACTATATCCTCGTAATCCTCATTTTCTACTTCTTCCTCTTACATCCATATAACACACCTCATTCAGTAACCTTCTACCTTGAGTGGCTCTTGGGTCTTGTATTGGATGAACCTTAATAATAATAACATTTTTCACAGTAATTTCTTTTCGTTTTTACACCCCACAATCATTATCTATTGTTGGTTTTATAAATTGTAACAGTGTGAAAGAAAACAAAAGTTTTTACTTACTTCATAGTTGGAGAGTCAGCATGGTTATAATGGTTGAGCTCAAGTCAGCCTTGCACTGAGTTGGAACAACCAAAGAAAAGGTTGATTTACTTCATATGTATAGGTTGTGCAAACACCATGCATTGAAAAGTGGAAAGAGAGTTTAGTCATTAGTGGACTGGGAGAATGAACATGTCTGAGCAACGACATCTTTTCCCCATGCTTATACATTCTTGAAGAAAGCAGGAGAAATAAGAAGAGGAAGGAAAATGTTTCTTTCTTTTTTTTTTATTATTCATTATTATGATTATTTTATTGATTGATTTTATTTCATTTTCCCACAGTGTCAACCATCTTCAGCTTTAATGTCACTTTTACACCATTTGCAACATTTTAAATTTATTTCTAAATATGTATAGTGCACAGCAAACATAATAAACAAATTTGAAAATCAGTAAACATATCTTGTACATTACTTCAGTTTGCATACTGTAAATGCAATAGAAGTACATTTTTATTTGCACTATTTACATTGTTCACACTGTTGTCCTCATCTTCACTACCATATTCACAATGTTTATGCTCCAGCCTTCTTCAGGTAAAGGAAATTTCAAACAGAACCTTTTATTTCATCCACCGAGGTAGATTGTTCTAGTTCCACGTGCCATGCCTCTTCCAGATGTCTTAGTATCAGCTATCTCCCTTTAACTTAACTCTCCAAGTTTTTGTTCACTTCAGCTGTAGCCAGGTATTGAACTTACAACCCATTGGTCAAATCACTGGATTCAACCAAAGACACATGGTCCAGTGGATAAAAAAAATCATACATATAGGTACCTCCAAAGATTTGCTAAAAAATAAGCATACATGATGGAAAAATGCAACAAACTTAGAGGAAACACCAAAGGATTTTTTGATTATTAAATTATTTCTTTTTTTTTTGGTTAAAAATCTTTTTTTCTTTCATCAGCAGGTGACCCTAAATTAGTATGGGAAATTTTAGCATCATTTTCCAGCAAAAAAATCATTGATTTGGAAATTTTTGCAAAAATCAAATAATTGTCAGATTTTAATGAACCTTTCAGGACTTATTCACAAATGAATGTCATAATTTGTTTTTTTTTTTTTTAAGATAATCTTGGTATAAAAATATTTCTTTTTAAATATGTTAACCTACCACAACCACCACCACCACCACCACTTATTTAATTTTATGAAATTTCAAGAAATTCATTTTTGTAGGACTTAATGTTTATATTAGTTTATAAGCATTTATTTGAGAATTTAAATCATTAATTTTTTTTTTTTTTTTTTGTAAAACAGGAACCCCATTTCCAGGAAATATGCTCTGAATTGAAAAATAAAAAATGCAACAAAACTAAGACATTTTTTAATTGAAAAAGCTTTTAATTGCTTTTACAAATAAGATTATGGAGACTATTGTCTTAAGAAAAACATTTTTTTAATGAATAATGGATATTTACAAGAATTTTTTTCATTTTAAAAAATTTAATTAGAATAATTTATAGAGTTTTAAATCTTTTAAAATTCTGTATTAATTTGTAACAGATGATATTGTTATTAAGTAAAAACTATATTTACTAATCATACATGATAAAGCTTATTGCAATTCAGTGACCCCAATATTTTTAAAAGAATTTTGAATTTTTTTTTGTGTGTGTGTGTGTGCATAAACATGTCAATTTTTGTAAATATGGATGTCAGTACATGACATTATCAAAAAATAAGAGTGGTAACTGTAGTAAATTTAAAGCCAAAGTACCTAAAATTCAATAAAGTCAGAAAACTCACTGAAATTACATGCCAGTTTCACTAAGTTGATAGGTTTATACTTCCTTTTCTCTTGTAAACTGTGATTAATGACATGTATGAAC